AACAGCAAAGCCCTGATTGGTCATATTTATATGGAACATCATCCGGTAGTGTTGATTCAAGTTTATTTAGATTATGATCCCCGGGGGTAGGGTGGGGCCACAATGGAGGATCAAAGTTTTACATAGAAATATATAGGAAAAATTTTGAAAATCGTCTTCTCAGGAACAGCAAAGCCCTGATTGGTCATATTTATGTGGAAGCATCCTCAGGTAGTGTAGATTCTATTTTGTTCAAATCATGACCCCCGGGGGTAGGGTGGGGCCACAATAGAGGATCAAAGTCTTACATAGAAATGTATAAGAAAATATCTTCTTTTGAAGAACTGCAAAGCCATGATTAGTCATTTTGATATGGAAGCATCCTCAGGTAGTGTAGATTCAAGTTTGTAAAAATGATGACCCCCGGGGGTAGGGTGGGGCCACAATGGAGAATCAAAATCTTAAATAGAAATATATAAGAAAATATCTTCTTTTGAAGAACTTCAAAGCCATGATTTGTCATTTTGATATGGAAGCATCCTCAGGTAGTGTAGATTCAAATTTGTAAAAATGATGACCCCCGGGGGTAGGGTGGGGCCACAATGGAGAATCAAAGTCTTAAATAGAAATATATAAGAAAATATCTTCTTTTGAAGAACTTCAAAGCCATGATTAGTCATTTTGATATGGAAGCATCCTCAGGTAGTGTAGATTCAAATTTGTAAAAATGATGACCCCCGGGGGTAGGGTGGGGCCACAATGGAGAATCAAAGTCTTAAATAGAAATATATAAGAAAATATCTTCTTTTGAAGAACTTCAAAGCCATGATTAGTCATTTTGATATGGAAGCATCCTCAGGTAGTGTAGATTCAAATTTGTAAAAATGATGACCCCCGGGGATAGGGTGGGGCCACAATGGAGGATCGAAAATTTTACATGGGAACATATAGGAAAATATCTTCTTCTCAAGAACAGAAAAACATGTTTAGTCATTTTGATATGGAAGCATCCTCAGGTAGTGTAGATTCAAATTTTGTTCAAATGATGATCCCCGGGGGTAGGATGGGTCCCACTGGGGGATCAAAAGTTTTACATAAGAACATATAGAAAAAAAGGAAGGAGCCACAATGGGAGATCAAATTTTTACAAAGGAATATATGGGACATTTTTTAAAAATCTTCTCAAGTACAACAAAGCCATTTGTTATATTGACATGGAAGCATCATCAGGTAGTTTAAAATTCAAGCCCCCCCCCCCCCCAATACTGAACTGATTTGTGCTTTTGCCTAGCCAATGTGCTCAGGTGAGCGATGTGGCCCATGGGCCTCTTGTTATTTCAAGGATGTTAAGCTTTTCGCTTGTTACAAAATTCCATAACACATACATTCTATTTCCAGACATATTGAACACTCGAAAAAGGAAAAAAAGTGTTGTAAATTTAATTTCATAATAATGTAATCAAAATTTAATGGTAATGTTTTTAAAAATAAATAGAAGGAGAAAGACTATTTGAAAGTTTCTGAACATGTGTCTAATCCTTTTTACTTTTTGTAAATAAGTTCAATTCAAACTTAATTCAACAATCACATATATGAGACAGAATGCATCGACTTTGACTTATTGCATTAAAAAAAAGACATTTACTACAATATGAGAAAGTTTGTTAATAAACATAATTAAGAAGATATGACGTTAATGGTGACATTTATAACGTACAACAATTGATGAGGTATTACTGCATTATAGAACCTCAAAAAGGTATTCATAACTGCAATAATTAAATTCTACACGGATTAAAAAAAAAAAGATGGTACAAATGTTGTTTCGAAATGGTAAAATTACATAACTTTCCCCGGTCGCTTTAAGATGGTTCTTGCATTATTTTAGATGTGAATGGTTTTGTGTATAATTTTGTATATGTATAATATCACCTTTGTCGCTTCCTGATGCCTCTCATTATGGCGTAGAGGCGACAAGAGAACACGGCGAATAAATATAGAGTTATGTGATGAACTACATGTTGTTTTAGGGTTAAAGGATAGCACTAATATCAGGAAGTAATAAAAACAACAAACAAACAACGTAAAAGTTGTTGACAGGGGTAACTAATAGCCCTTCGAGACCACGATCTAAATTCCCCCTCGTCTTTATGTTCTCATAGAGATACTGGCCAATTATAACCAAGGAACAAATATGGGATAAATACACTCTGAATACTTTGTCTAAAAAAAAAAATCAGCAATTTTTGTTTGAAATTCAAATCCTGGTCATTATTATTATTTTAAGCATGATGAAGAGCGAGAAAATAGTTTTAGTTCAACGTTGTCTCCGCAAAATGAATTTTTCTTGCAAGAGTGCTTTCAACGCAACGGGAAGTTCTATGGAGCGCCAAATTAACAAACTAGTTGCGCATTGAAGATATCTTTAATTATTTGAATATATCATAGCATAATTAACATTCAATTACTGCGCAACAATTCTTTGAGTGAGAGAGAGAGAGAGAGATTTAACTACTAAATTAGTGATTCTTTAATTCATCATATTTAGATAACGAACTCTTTGATTGAATTGTTTCTCCCTTTGTTTGAAGATATCATTAATTCATTCATTACATTCAATGATTGTATTAATTGATTTTCAGAATTGATGCAGGCGATACCAGTAACTGAATTATTACTCTATTCAATTGAATTAATGATACGTATACCATAAATTCAAGTAGTGCGCAACAATTCTTTTAGAGAGGGAAAACCACTGAATTTGTGATTTCTAATTCAACATAATTTAAATAAAGAACTCTTTGACTGAATTGTTTCTGCTTTTAAAAAGAATTGTTGTGAGCATTAATCTTCTCAAAGTCTGTATTATACTTGAGTTGAGATATCTTCAACCAAAGCAAAGAGAAAATCAAATATTCCTGTCTCTAATCTTATTTTTGGAAGTGAAATTAGGCGGCAATAATTTAAACCACTTTGTTGAACTCAACAACTAAATGAATGCCAACATCAATTCAATTCATAGAAGCAATTATTGAATATTCGCATGCATCAAATCATTTCAATTGATGCGTGCATCCATTGAATTTCTCTCATCAGTTCGATTGAAGCGCGAAGTAAAATTCATTTCAATAGCTGAAATCAATAATTTATTTGATGCGCGCATTAATTGAAACAATGATATCTTCAAATGACTTCTTTGTTAATGAGAGAATTAACGGTTGCAATCATTGGAGAAAAAAAAATGCATAACCGGAGTGTTTCCTTTGTTCTTCACATATGCTTAAGTCGGAAAGCTATGTCATTAAAGGAAGCTTACGAATACAAGTTTAATACTAATTAGAATTATTAACAGCGAACGAAATTTAAGCAAACATTGATCATTTGTTGGGACAAATCAGATGTACACATGTGCGGAAAAAAACCACTACAAACAATATAAATCTATGAACCGGGCTTAAAACACGGACCCCCTGAAATTCCAGAGTAGGGATCAGGTGCCTAGGAGAAGTCAGCTTCCCCTGTCGACTGGTCATACCCGCCGTGAGCCCTGTGTATTGTTCAGGTAGACAGAATATTCCTTAGTCAGAATTTAGTATAAAAACAAAGGCTTAACAATGGATTTAAAACAGGTCAGCCAAAATACGTCATTAAAACGTCCACAGAATTTACGAAATGCTGACTTAAAACGAAGTTGTTGAAATCCCTGTAACATAAACTTCTCTGTCAGTAGCCTACCTCGGTTTAAAAATTGATCGTACTCAGGGCATGCTGTTGAGCATCGAATAAGTTGGGAAACGTAAACACCATATGTAGGTGATAGCGGAATATTACTACATGCGTAATAAGGAAAGTTGAGGATGGAAAAGCTGAAGTCACCTTATTTGTAATACAATTTAGTTGTTAGTTGGCCCTTATCGTCTATAATCTGTAAAACATCCAAATATGCGACATATGTAACAGACTCTGTGGTGTCTTTTATTTTGAGTTCACTGGAATATATCGAGTGGAATGGTAGTAACTTTTGTTAATTGATGACACGTCGTAATATATTAACAGGTTGGCTAATAAAGAGCACATTTAGTGCCCATCGCAACTCCAACGGTTTGTTGTAAGACCTGGTCTCCAAAGACTACATAAATGCTGTCAATTAGAAACTCCAGCATCCTTTTAATATCAACTTCAGAGTACATGTACTCGTGTGTAGAATCAGAGTGATTTTAAACAAAGTAAATTTGTTGGTGGCCAATCAAAAGATAAGAAAAAATTTCATTTTGATGTTACTGTCTTTTGAAAAATTTGGTGATTTGAAATTTTGTAAGTTCTTTGGATTTTTTGAGAATCTACATCTGATTTACACCACTTTTAGAATATGTTGTAGGTCAGTGCATCTGAAGTTTCTCTTTAATATTTTTGTGAGTAGAAAAGATTGGTAGCACACTTGCTGGACCCCGCAATTGCAATGTATCTTTGTTTGTAAGGATTTTTATGAAGTTTAGGAATCCTGTAAAGGTAGTGTAGATCGAACTCATCTTGGTTGACTGGAATGTTAAAAGGCTGAAATTTGTTTGTTAAGAATTTCATCCTTAGAAAGTGAACTGTGAGTATAAGGTGGGTTTCCAGGAGTAACCAAAAATGAGCTTGGAAATCCCCCCTCTTCCCCTTCAAGGAAATAGTTTGATTACTTTTTTGAGTTGTTGTTGATCGGGGGTAAAAATCTTGCAAATCCCTGACTGAACAACCTCTATACCACCTCTCGGACACATTAAGTGTTGGAATGAGAGGTATAACTTTGCTTCTTCGAATTTAAGCATCTTTCAGACACTTTATTTCTGAAAGAAATTCAAAGGAACTCAGAAAATGTTGACTCAGTTGCATTCCAAGCTTTTTTTTTCCATTTGACACAGTACATTTCTGCATTAACCAAACCAATTTTTGTTTTTTAAAGGAGGCCTTGCTGAAGCTCAAATAAGAATAAAACGTCAACCTCACATAAGGTTTAGTTGATTAAAGACAAAACAAGATTTTATGTAAATAAAATAGTTGTATTCTAATTCTAGACATGAAAATACACCAAACAGGATACAAAAGAACGTGGGAGAAACAGCCTCCGATATCAGCGCCCCTGTAAAACAAAATACCGAAGTGTAAAAAATAAAAAAATAAAAAAAAAAGCCGTATTGCTTTTATATATCATGAGCATAAAGTCATATATGGCGTATTTTTGATAAATTCAGACTAACTAAAAATATTAAGATCGTTCTATTTGTTTTATTACTTTAAATAAAGATGGGACTTTATTGTAAATTACACAATTTAAATCAATCGCGTATCATGAATTTTCGAAATTTAAAACAATAACCGATTTATTTACCGACTCCGCATTTAAATATCAGACACAGTTTAAAGTCAATTTAACTATAGAAACGTGGGATTATTCAAGCTCAAAATCGGTGAAAATTTTAATTTGAACGTAAATAACAAATATTATGTTCATCTGCACTCAATCTCGTATTTTTATTTTTTAGCTCAGATACGTCATATATAGCTTTAAATATAATCACTAAATATACACGTTAATTCATTATATATGAAAATCAGTGCCATAGGTAAGGGGGAATCAAAAAGAAATACATAACAATACTAACAGAAATTGAGCTAGGTATATTGTTTAACCCCTCCCCCTTCTCAACTTCCAAAATTGTTGATTTCCAACATGGACATGTTTTCTTTAAGTTTAGAAATAACTTTGTGTAAATTATTTAATTTTGAGCTCCTTGTTTATTTACCTCAGCATGTTCGTTGACGCCCGGGGGATAAACCTCGAAAAAATGCCTGGGTAAACAACATTTGTACTCAATTGTTGAACCAGGATATTCCCTCTGGCACCTCTTGTCGTAATTTTTGTAATCCACATGGATATAATCTTCTGGACATTTTTCTTCATCTTGCATACATTCACAATCCCCGAATGTCGGTTTTTCCCTCTCCTCGCCCTTCTTTTGACCCCCCTCAGCTGCTTGGACCCAATCAGCTGTCGCTTCTTCATTTCCCTCTTGGCAATGAATTGAACCTGGAGAAAAATACCCCAAAATGAAAAAATGATTTTCCATTTTATTGGTAGGGGGAGAGGGATCAATTTTTGACCCAACCATCCCCCAAAAAATCAATCAAACAAAAACAAGACAAAATCAAGACAAAGCCAAAAAAGAAAAAACAGAAACAGAAAAAAAACAAACAAAAGAAAACACACAGAGAGAGAGAGAGGACCTCTCTCCAAAAGCCCCCCCCCCCAATAAAAGTTTTAAAAAATCAAAAACAAGAAAATCTAGTTTGTAATAAAATTTAAATACATTGTATATAACATAAGTCTTCGAGATCATTTTCAAACACATTGTTACTCACCTAAAACTATGAAAACCAACATCAGAGCGAGAAGCTTTGCCATGATTTTTGTTATACTACGAACAGGTGACAAGTTTGAAATGCTTCCCTCAGTCACTTTACTGGATTATATATATATAGAAGGTCCTTAAACCACTTTGACACGGGAATGCACTTCCACAATGCAAATGTCCCCCCGAAAGCATTATTATATGTGTATTGACACACCTGCCTTTGACCCGTGTAATGAATGCGTGTTAATCGTGACCGTAAATTAATTACGAGAAAGAAAAATCCTAAAACGCTCTCAGCCATCAAATTTACTCGTAGAGAATATTAAGGCTGACCTTCATAAGGATTTCCGGGATCAGCAATGATAATAACATCTCGATCAAAGTCTGGTATATGGAAATTATTTCAAACACGTTTATTCTAAATTACTGAATCAGCTGATTAACCTAATTGTGGTAATAATTTTCAAAATTTGCACTTTCGAAAAGAAACACATTGATTTTTTTTTATCAGGTAAAATATAAAATATGATCCTTTTTAAAAAGTTTTCTATTACCCGATTTTACAAGCACTATAGTATATTAATAATCATATGCACTTAGGACCATCCTACATTTGAGGTACATGTCCGAATTTCCAGTAAAGTTTCGGAAGGGAAAATAAAAAATTTCCAGTGCATTCATGCAACCTCAAATAATGCCATTGGAATTTGTCTGTGGTTTTCAACTTCACCTACTGTAAACATAGACAACCACACTAAACAGGCAAAACCCGCAATCAGTACATTTTTTTACTGAATCTATGCCACATCTCTGAAAGCAGGAAGAGAACTCGGAGGTCGGCGGGACTATAAATTTTAACGATATTTACATATTACAAAAACAGTTTTTCTTCTGTTTTTATTATAGATATTACTTTTTTTATTTATTGAAAGTAGTATTAAAATTTTCAGGTCCGCCAACTCCCTTGGGGAGTGCTTTAGATGCTGCATAATTATGACCTACATTTTATGCTTCAATTACCCTGGTTAAAAACACCGTGCTCGTAAGTCTGTTCCTTAAAATCAGTATCCAGACCAAACTTGTAAATATGAACCTTTAAATGGTTGATGCCAGTAGCAAAGCTTAAGTTTGGAAATTTAAGTCTGAATCCTGTGTATCACAAGTATAAAAGTCAAAATAACTCCTGTTGTGCCGCAAAGGTTGTTTTATTTGGTGCATGCTTCGGATGCTGATTCTGACCTACATTTCATGCTTCTGTGATTCGGTAAGGAACAGTGCTTAGGTATCTTTCCAGCATAACACATGGGGTACCGAAATCAACTTTTAATAAGAGGCCCAGGGGCCACATCGCTCACCTGAGCACTTTGGTTTAGGAAAAGCAGAAATCAGTTCAGTCTTGAAAAGTTTAAATACAAAAGTGGTTCGGGGGGATGATTTGAACTAACTTTAATCTACACTTCCTAAGGATGCTTTTGAATTAATATGACACAAAATAGCTTTGCTGTTCTTAAGAAGAAAATATTTATTGATATATCCTTTATATTCCGTTGTATAACTATGATCCCCTGTTATGGCCCCTCTGTTCTCCTGAGGGGTCTTGATTTGAACAAATTTGAATCTACATTACCTGAAGATGCTTTAATATTATTATGACCAATCATGGCTTTGCTGTTCTTGAGAAGAATTTTAAAGATTTTTCCTATGTATTCCTATGTTAGACATTAATCCCCCATTGTGGCCTCACCTTACCCCCAGGGGTCATGATTTGAACAAACCTGAATCTACACTACCTGACGATGCTTCCATTTAAACATGACTAATCAAGGCTTTGCTGTTCTTGAGAAGAAGATTTTTAAAGATGTTTTCCTATGTACTCCTATTGTATATAAAACTTTGATCGCCCGTTGTGGCCCCACCCTACCCCCGGGGGTTATGATTTGAACAAACTTAAATCTACACTACCTGAGGATGCTTGCATATAAATATGATGAATCGTGACTTTGCTGTTCTTGAGAAGAAGATTTTTTCCTATGTATTCCTACTGTATATAAAACGTTGATCGCCCATTGTGGCCCCACCCTACCTCGGGGGGTCATAATTTGAACAAACTTGAATCTACACTACCTGACAATGCTTCCATTTAAATATGACCAATCATGGCTTTGCTGTTCTTGAGAAGAAAATTTTTAAAGAGTTTTTCCTATGTATTCCTATGTAAAACTTTGATCACCCATTGTGGCCCCACCCTACCCTCGGGGTTCATGATTTGAACAAAATTGAATCTACACTACCTCACAATGATTCCACATAAGTTTCATACTTTCAAGCACAATGGTTCTTGAGAAGATATTTTAAATGATGCCATTAACTTTTCACAAATTCATCATTATCTCCCCTTGGAAGGTGTGCCCTTCATTTGAACAAATTTGAATCCCCTTTACCCAAGAATACTTTGTGGCAAGTTTGATTGAAATTGGCCCAGTGGTTCTTAAAAAAAGAAGATGAAAATGTGAAAAGTTTACAACGACAACGACGACGACAGACAACGGACAAATTTCGATCAGAAATCTCACTTGAGCCTTCGGCTCAGGTGAGCTAAAAATGATGCTTTTACGTTGTTTAATGCATTATCTAGGTTCTGTAAATGACCTTTATATCTCGCTTTCGTAATTTTAGAGAAAAACACATTTTTTTTGTATAGTTGTTTCCAGCTTCATATAGTTAAGTCTATACAAATTTTAAAATTGCAAGGGTACATGTACCTGTTAATCTCCATCTGACTCTTTTACAGTGATGCAATGTGTTAATTTGATGAGGATGCTCAAATTATTCTAGAAAAGCTACATTTATATGTGGATCTTATTTCAAGGAAAACAGGGTTGTTGCAGTATTTTAAAAGTGTAAATAACGACAGCTGATAAACATACAAGCATATTAGTGTACATTTACAGTGACCTTGAATAAGACGCCATACAAGATAGCGTGTTTGTTACTGACTCCAGAATATACTCGTGGGGGATTTTGTTCTGATCTACTGACTGATTGGATACAGTACAATACACATAGTATTATAATTGTAAAATTTCTTAAACAGAGGCAAAATACAGGCACTTGGCGTTTTAAATGTTTCTTTTTATTGATAAAAAAATATTATAGTATGGATTTTTTTTACGAATAAAGAAAAATATTCAAAACGTCTTGTCTGTTCTAAAAAGTATAGTACAAATGTAAAAATATCAATCAGACGAACAAACAACTACGCCAATGCATCGCCTGTAATAACCAGCAATAATGACAAAGCATTTAACACATTCAAAGAGAATTCAAGTTCATTGTATTTGTATATGAAAAGTGAATAAAATTCATTTTAATCAGGATCAATTCTCTATAATTTTAAGTTTGTGTTGACAAAGACTGTCATATCACTCATATAACACAGTTACCGTGTTCAAGAACAATTTACACTCATATCAATCATTAATGACTCTTATTAATCAATTACGTATACCAAGGTTGTTATTTTAAAAATGAATCATTCCCGTCATATAAGCAATTGTGATAATTTTTGTCAATATCAAAAAAGGTCGGTGACAAACTTTTCAATCACAAAACATAATCAAACGATTAAGATTCTGAAGTTAGTTAACGGCACATCGAGTACGACAGGGTCCAAAAAATATATATGAATATTCATAAATTCAGATTCTGATCTCTGAAAATGGACTTGAAATGTGAAAATCTGAAACATATATAGTCAATGGAAATGATAAATGTGTTATTGATGTACAGTACAGTCTCAATATCACAGCCCTATGCTGTCTAGTTCTTTGCTCATTTGACATACAGCACATGGCTCACAACACAAGGTAGTACAAAAGTCTTTTATCAATGATCCCTGGAAAAGAATATACAAATAGCTAATGAATATATCCATATGTTTACTTTTTTGTTTGGATAATTTGATGTAAATATTCCACTATACAATACATTGTGGTAATCAAACCTTAATTCCAAACAGCGTTCTAACTTTAATACGAAGAGCAAACACCGCGCACGGAATCAGAGCCATAAAAGGGGTTTCTCCAAGACGTGTTGCTGTTAAGTATTTCAAGTATGGCCAACAGCAGAAATAACAGCAACCTGAAAATTTCGAGACAAAGAGGAAATAACAATGCAATTATATAATTGCTTGTAGATAATTAATGGAAAGGTTTGGTCGTTGTGAAATGTACTTAGCTCTATCTTTTCTCGTATTAAGGAAACAATGTTTGTTTGTCAAATAATTTCGGTTTGGGTCAACATCTAACGTTTGTGAGAGTGTTAGCAGTGACTGCACGAAAGAGTATGTGACTTGTCCAGATCCACAACGTATAAATATATATAAAACGTGATTTTTTTTTCACAGAATTAAACATGCTTGGGACAAAGCTGATATTTCAGGAGCATTACTTACAATGTCGCCTATCATCACTTTTACATTGACAAAGTCCACTGGCCCAGTCTCTTTCACAATGTGCGTCATCAAAAGTTGTTCTACCCGCCGTTATAGCTTTCGCCCTATTTCCGGTTTCCATGCGCGAAGTCCTGCGCGGTTGAGAGGTTACAACAGAGTCTGTGTCATCGCTGGCTGTGAATGACCCTCCCGTCATTATCACGTTTTCTTTTTGAGCTGAAAATTTGAATCAAACAACGTTGAATGGTCACCTGAATTATCAAAAAATATAAATTAATTATTCGTATCGAAGTCGGGGGGACGTTGTCATAATGTTGGTCCTCCTGAGTAATCGACAGTCACAGAACAGCTGCAGAAAGCTTGGACAACCAAACGAAACTTTCAAGTAATAATAATAATCACCAAGTATAGTTTGTAAATACGTTAACACCGCATAGTTTTAAAAGGACTGCTTTTGTCCAACAAAAAGGTAATTTGTCTTTGATTTTTTTTTTGTTGCAAAATTTTAAAATACTAGTAGTACTTGCTTTATTTTAACACATTTGATTGAATCATAATCAGTAGGTTTGAACACAAGTTTTTCCAACTTAGATTATCATCTCCAATACAAAGAAAATGAACAATAAATACACATGAAGTACTAGTACTTGCTTACTCTGCTTTCAACTCCAATATTGCACTATTGGGAACATTCAGTAACATATGCTATAATGCTTACGACACCAAACTTACATTAATAATTTCAATTATGGTTCAACTATCAAGTGAAACTGCTCATAGAATAGAGTTCTGGTCACATGACATGTCGTTCCATCTTTTTGGCAATGTGTTCATGAATTTCCAATCCTAGTTTCATCGATACTTGAAGTGACTATTTCTGGTTACTTTTCGACCCTTAATAATTCCAAAATTCAAAAAAATCTGTATAACAATCTGAGAAATAATTCGGACAAAAAAAAACTCAAACACGTTACACATATATAAACAAGAGGCCCATGGGCCACATCGCTCACTGAGCACATTGGCTAGCAAAAAGCACAAATCAGTTCAGTATTAAGAACCCTCTATGCATTGCACACTAGAGAGTTCTGATTTTGTTGTATAATACAGATAGAATGATCTGCTCTTTGATCAAGAATAAAATAAATTGAAATATACAGTTTATTACTTAATTTGTGATCAAATCAAGCATTCAAAACACTAATAGGCCAAGATGAATACATGTAGATAGAACACATCATTTACAGGTATTTTGCCCATTTAAGTGAACAACAGTGATTTATGTTCATCAGTACTTCTTCGTCTTTGAACATTTTTCCTGGGGGAAACTTTATGAAATCATTTAATTTGATCGACTGTTGGTCCTTCAGTGATAAAAATAACGAACAGGGATACACATGGTGTGATGCGGACAATAATCCCAAATCTAGAATTGATTATGTATTTATGGCAGAAAGTTTCTGCTTTAGATTTAATCAAATTTTATTAAGAAAAGCTCCTAATTATGACGGGACAAGATTTAGTGACCACTTAGGTTTATACTTTGATTTCTGTACAACAGAAAATATTAGAGGGAGTGGTTATTGGAAAATGAATACGTCACTTTTAAACAAAGAAAAATTTTGCAATGAAATAAGAAACTTCATTAAAAAAGAAATATCTAGATTACATGATCATGACCCCATCGCTAAATGGGAATGCCTGAAAATATCAATTAAAAATTTTACAATAGCCTATTCTAAAGAAAATGCAATTTCCAAAAAAAAGCGAATTAATTTTATTGAGAATCAAATTAAAATATTGGAAAATAAACCCTATTCTCACATAAATATGAGATATAAACGACAACTTGAAAATGAAATTGATGAATTCTATGCACAAAAATGTAAAGGGGCTTACATAAGATCGAGGGCCATTTGGATGGAAAAGGGCGAAAAAAGTACTGCATATTTTTTAAATCTAGAAAAAAAGCAACAGGGCGACAATACAATTAATAAAGTTACTAATGACGATGATATTGTCTATCAAGAAAATGATGATATTATGAAAGCTTTAGTCGATTTCTATAATACATTATATAAGAGTAAAAGAATTTGTGATCACGATATCGAAAAATACCTTGAAAATATTGAATGTCCGAAAATTAGCGAAAATGAGAAAAATAATTGCGATAAGTTACCGACAATGTTTGAGTGTAAGGAAGCTATTAGTCATATGAAAAATAACAAATCTCCTGGATCAGATGGACTTCCAGCAGAATTTTATAAAATGTTCTGGAATGATATTAAAGATATATACTTCTCATGCTTAATTAAAAGTATTGAAACTGGAATTCTACCATTTTCACAACGAGACGCAATAATCTCCCTAATTTACAAAAAAGGTGAAAAAGATAAATTAAAAAACTATAGACCGATAAGTCTTACAAATGTGGATTATAAAATTTTTGCACAAATTTTAGCCTTACGATTACAGCTAGTTGCTAAAAATATTATAGGAAAAGAACAAAGTGCATATATCAAAGGAAGATACATCGGAGAAAATGCGAGACTGATACTTGACATATATGAGCACTGTATGAATCATGATCTTGATGGCATATTGTTATTTTTAGATTTCGAAAAAGCATTTGACTCTGTTGAGTATAACTTCATGTTCAAAACATTAAGCAAATTTAACTTTGGAGAACACTTTATTGACATGATCAAAACTCTGTATAATAATCCTACTTTCAAAATTAAAAATAACGGATGGATTTCAAAATCTTGCTCTATGGAAAGGGGAATACGTCAAGGATGTCCGGTGTCTGCACTTCTCTTCATTTTCGTATTAGAAACACTTGCTATCCAAATTAGAAATAACAAAAATATACATGGTCTATCATTTAATGAAAATGCTTCAAAAAACATCAAGATAGTTCAACATGCTGATGACTGTACAAATGCATTAAAAGATACCAACTCATTGGCAACTACTTTAGATATTATTCACCAATTTAGTAAAGTTGCTGGTCCGAAACTAAACTTATCTAAAACTGAATGCATTTTAACTGGTTCCTTAATTGATAAGTACTGCAACAATGATGACTTATTTGGTGTAAAAATCGCAACTGAAAGTGTTAAATCTCTTGGAATATACTTAGGTCATAATAAAGACGTGTGTTATGAAAAAAACTGGCTAAGCAAACTTGAAAAACTTGAAAAAATCTTAAGTGTTTGGCGAAAACGCAAATTAACAATATTTGGAAAATGTACAATAATCAATACTTTAGCAATATCAAAGCTTGTGTATAATGCATTTATTTTACCTAATCCTGACAAAGACTTCTTTAAAAGGGTATCAAAAATCATTTTCAACTTTCTATGGAACAAAAGAGAGAGAATTAAACGAAATACTTTGATTGGTAAAATTGAACAAGGAGGAATAGGGATAATTGATGTTGAAAGTAAATTTTCTGCTGCAAAAGCTTCTTGGGTAAGAAGAATTTTAGATAAAAATACAATCACGCACTTTACTTTAAACAGTCTATTAGAAAATAGTAATTTATCAATACATGATATTATTAAAACAACGAGTTATAACTTGGATGATAAAAAATTTTGGGAACTGACTAATTTCCCGCAATTTTATGTGGAAGTTTTTTCAATGCTTAATAAGTGTAAAAAAATTCAAGCAAAGCAACAGTATTTTGAAGGAAGAATTTTTATCCCAATTTATCTGGCACAATAATTTGTTCCGATATGATTCCAAAACTTTATGTTTTGAACAATGGATCAAGAGTGGTATATTGTATGTGAAAGATCTTTTTGATGAAAATGGTGAAATACATGCACTAGATTACTTTTGGGATAAATTAAGAAGTAAAAACAATATTTACTGTGAATATATCATGCTCAAAAAGACGCTAAGACCTTTCAAATCAAAACTTGATTGTTCCTATGAAAAATATATTAACATCCATAATAATGACTCGTTTTTGTTTAGAAACAACTGTTTTAAGTCGACCAAAACTTTAAAAAGTGATTTTTACTACTCGGTCTTAGTTCAGTCAAAATTTCATAATTCAATTTATGAGAATAAGTGGAATAAATATTTTAACATAGATGATAAAACATTATGGAAGAATATATACATTTCAAAAATTCTCAATATGTATGACAAAAAGATTGCAGAATTCAACTACAAGCTGCTTAATTGTCTGTTAAATACTAATGCAAGTGTAAGTAAATGGAATAAAGATGTATCGCCAATGTGTGAGCTATGCAATGTATTAGAAGATAGTGAACACCTTCTATTTTCCTGTGCAATTACCAATTTTTTATGGCGAAAAACTAGTATATTTTTAAAATTTAATGTTTCATGGAAACGTATTTTGTTGGGATTTTACGGTGAATTATCAGAAAAAACATGTATTTTGAATAATCTAATTTCATTTCTTTGTTTTACTATATATAAGTATAAAATGAAGAGTCGATTCAATAATGAAAGAATGTCAGAAGATAAATTGAAATCTTATGTTAAAAACTGTCTCATTTTACAAAATTCTATTGTGAGAAAATGTGGCAAAATAGGAAATAACTTATATAGTGATGTAGCAAATTGTTTGTAGAAAAAAAAATCTTATGTTACGCTAATTATGGAGTAGACATTTGTATATCCAACACATGAGGAAAACAGTCCTCATGTGTGGTAGCTAGGGGTCCTCATTATGGACAGTGCTGGTGTTGAATAAGACCCCTTTAGCTACCCGGATTCAATACTTTTTTTTCCTATATATATATACATTGTATATCCTTTAAATCAATTTATACGTGTTTTAAAAAAAAAAGTTTGCTGAAAAAAACCCACACTGTTTTGATTAAAGAAAATGCTGTAAAAGTAGTAGAATGCTTATTAGACAGGTATGATGCATATTTTTTTTTTCTCTCTCTCTGCAGAAGTACATGTATTATAATTCTGATATGTCATAAAAATACTAATTGTAATGTATAATATAATCTTTGCCCAATATGTTGTATGTTGCATATATTTTTAATAAAAGAAAAAAAAAAAAAAAAAAAATAAGCGCAATAGGGATGCTACTTGATGCCTAATTAGAAGCAGAGACATATAAAATATTATATGTCTCTGTTAGAAGTGAAGGATTGTTTTAGTCGTATTATTTTATAGTAAATACATATTTGTATTAAAGAGTACCCTCTAGTTCATGAGAGTAATTTTTCATTAAAGTCAGAATTTAAAAAAAAAAAAAAAAAAAAAAAAAAAAAACATTTTTCCTGGGGGTAAATGCAAGGTACCCTATGTTGAAAATGTCATAGATAAGCTCAATACTTACACCTTTAAACACTATAATTTTCTCAATGTCCAAAAAATATTTTCCTCTAGTGTATAGAGGGTCCTTAAACAGTTTACACTGGGGGAGAGACTTGAGTTTTAAACTACCCGAGGATGCTTCCATATCAGTATAACAAAGGGCTTTGCTATTCTTGTGCAGAAGATTTTTTCCTGTGTATTCCTTTGCAAAAATTTGATCCCCCATTGTGGCCCCTCCCTATCCTCAAGGGTCATCATTTGAACAAACTTGAATCTACACTACCTGAGAATACTTCCATATCAACCAGACTAAACATGGCTTTTCAGTCCTTGAGAAGAAGATATTTTCCTAAATATTCCTATGTAAAACTTTGATCCCCCATTGTGGCCCCATCCTACCCCCAGGGGTCATCATTTGAACAAACTTGAATCTACACTACCTGAGGATGCTTCCATATCAATAAGACTAAACATGGCTTTTCTGTTCCCGAGAAGAAGATTTTTGCGGTATATCCCTATGTAAAACTTTGATCCCACATTTTGGCCTTATCCTACCCCTGGGGGTCATGATTTGAACAAACTTGAACCTACACTACCTGAGTATGCTCCTATATCAGTATGACTAGACATGGCTTTGCTGTTCTTGAGAAGAAGATTTTTAAAGTTTTTTCCTATATATTCCTATGTATAACTTTGATCCCCGATTATGGCCCCATCCTACCCCCGGGGGTCATGATTTGAACAAACTTGAACCTACACTACCTAAGTATGCTTCCTTCTCAAAATGACTTATAATGGCTTTGCTGGTCTTGAGAAGAAGATTTTTAAAGTTTTTTCCTATATATTTCTATGTAAAACTTACATCCCCCATTATGATCCCACCCTTCCCCCAAGGGTCATGATTTGAATCTACACTACTGAGAATACTTCCCTGTCAAAATGACTAATCATGGCTTTGCTGTTCTTGAGAAGAAGATTTTTAAAGTTTGTACCTATATATTCCTAAGTAAAACTTTGATCCCCCATTGTGGCCGCACCCTACCCACAGGGGTTACAATTTGAGCAATTTTGAATCTACACTACCTAAGTATGCTTCCATATCAAAATGACTTATAATGCCTTTGCTGGTCTTGAGAAGAAGATTTTTAAAGTTTTTTCCTATATATTTCTATGTAAAACTTACATCCCCCATTATGATCCCACCCTACCCCCAAGGGTCATGATTGAATCTACACTACTGAGAATACTTCCCTGTCAAAATGACTAATCATGGCTTTGCTGTTCTTGAGAAGAAGATTTTTAAAGTTTTTTCCCTATATATTCCTATGTAAAATTTACATCCCCCATTATGGCCCCACCCTACTCCCAGGGGTCATGATTTGAACAAATTTGAATCTACACCCTGAGAATACTTCCCTGTCAAAATGACTAATCATGGCTTTGCTGTTCTTGAGAAGAAGATTTTTAACGTTTTCCTATATATTTCGATGTAAAACAATTTGATCCCCCATTGTGGCCCCACCCTACCCCCAGGGGTCACAATTTGTTTTGTTTTTTTTTTTCAATCTACACTACCTGATAATGCTTCCATATCAATATGACTGATCACAGCTTTGTTGTTCTTGAGGAGAAGATTTTTAAATATTTTTCCTATGTATTCCTATGTAAAATTTTGATCACTCTAACCCCGGGGGTTATGATTTGAACAAAATGACTCCACTCTATGTCATGAAGGTTTCACATAAGTTTCATTTTTTCTGGCTTAATGGTTCTTGAGAAGAAGATTTTTGAAAGATGACACCAAATTTTCACTAATTCTTAATTATCTCCCCTTGAAATGGGGCATGGCCCTTTATTTGAACAAACTTGAATCCTCTTCATCCAAGGATGCTTTGTGGCAAGTTTGGTCAAATTGGCCCATTGGTTCTTGAGAAGAAGTCGAAAATGTGAAAGGTTTACAGACGGACAGAGAGACAGACAGACAGACGGACGCCAGACAAAATGTGATCAGAAAAGCTCACTTGAGCTTTCAGCTCAGGTGAGCTAAAACAGATTCCTTTGTTGGGACGGGGGTGAAGTGTAGGTAACAATACCAACTGCAACGCTCCAGGAAAGAGTAATCAACGGGAGGTAATCTATCTTCATTAATGTAATCAGAACAATATTTCATTGCAAGGTTGAATAAAACATACAATGTATATGCAAAATAATAAAGCTAGCTATTTAGTGTAATGGCAAATAGTTCTTTGGAAGTATACAGTATTCCTGTCTGCATTCACACTAATGAGCCTTTGTTAGAGAAAAGCCCTACTATTAGGGACTTCTTACACTCCCTTTATTGATTTGATTGGATCCTTTGGTTAGTTTGATATATGGCTTGCTAGTAAATTATTTATTGGTTATATAGTATTATTTTAAAAATTTTAATTTTATACATGTAATTCCCTCCCGAACGTTACAAATTTACATGATAAAAGCAAACTTTACATGCTAAACGTAATGAAATGTTCTCTCTAGAACATGAATTAGTTTCTAAAGAGGGTAATCATATATAGAGTCCAAAGCCGTCGCCAGATTTCTGGAAAGGAGTTGTGGGGGAGGGTCTTACAAATACCCCTCCTCTGAATTAGGAAATTTAAATTATATATGTACCATTTACGGAAGCGTGTTAGTACCACGTAATGTTTTTTTTAAGTTGGTAATTCCAACTTTAAAATTGGCTTTTCCAACTTTAAAGTTGGCTCTTCCAACTTTAAACTTGGCTCTTACAACTTTAGAGTTGGTAATTTCAATTTTAATCTTGCCTTTTCCAACTTAAATATTGGCTTTTCCAACTTATGATGAAAGAAGGAATTATTTCATTGTGTTTTCTTATACAGAATTGATACATTTAGTTCAGTTGTACATGTACTTGTATAATGTAATATATATTAGTGTTGATTCATCCTACATATAAAACACCTAATTATGGTCTCATTTGTTTAAGCTTCCTCTCTCTTGCAAAACAAAATATGTGGCTGATCTCTTAAATAGGTTTGGTTGAAATCCTGTCATGTACGGAGTTGTATGAAATTATTCTCTATATAAATATATAAGATGGATCAAAAGAAATAAAAGAGATTTTAAAGTTGGAAGTTATATGTAAAGTCATAGGGGAGGTCAAGGCTCAACAATCTATTTCAGTGTATTAATTCTGTATTAATATAGTTAATAAAAATTTGAAAAAAAGGAGAAAAAAAAACTTAGGAAAAGGGCTAGAAAAGCTCAAATTAAAGTTGGAAAAGCCAAGATTAAAGTTGGAATTAACTTTAAAGTTGGTATTTCCTACTTTCAAGTTGGCTTTTGTAAAAGTCAATGCAACTTAATTTAATGGAAATACCAACTTTAAATTAAAGTTGGAATTACCAACTTAAAAAAATATTACGTGGAACTAATACGCTTTCGTAAACCATTTTTTGGGTGGTTCTGATGTATTCTTGAAGTCATTTTTTAACAAACAAAATTTTGCAGCATTTCTTTAAACAGATGAAAAATGAATCACTTTGTTTCAAAAATGATATTTTAGAGTATTTGTCAGACAAAGGGGCGGGGGTGCGATCGAACCCAACGTCCCCCCCCCCCCCCCCGTTCCGACGGTCTTGTAGACCCACACATTGAGAAATCTCTGATAATTATATGAAATATATCGGAACTCAGTGAGTCTGAGTTAAAACATAAGATTGCAAACGTTTAAGCCATATGTTTGTAATTGTCCCTAGCGAGCTACTTTCTAGAAAACAAAATGCCGTAAAACACGAGTTTTTAATTACATATAGTATATAAATAGAAACATACGATCAGGGTTTTATCTACAACTTACGATCAGTCTCCATTGTTTCCAGGAAGATTGAGTCAAAGATGAAATTCTTTGTTGTTTCACTCTTCGAAATTTTTGGACGGTAGCAGACGATGGGTGAATCACGTAACTATGCTGCCGCTGAACCCAGAAGATAATCTATCGCCTCCGACGCGCGTGTATATGTCTAACAATAATGCATCAAATTCTGGAATTCGTTAGAATTTGTAAATAAAGCAGATTTTTGGACAAATATTGTTAAACAGAGATGTTGAAGCAAACCAGCCATTTGGTCAATAGATGATCAGTTTCACAAACATCTGTTGAGAATACAGAACAAGTTTAGGTGTATGTATATGCCCCATATTTTGCAGCACACTGGGAATTTTTTTCTCTGATATTTGCTACAATTGACCTAAAAATAGAGCCTATATATTCAGCTATGCGAATTATGTTATGCTCTCATTTCTCTATCCTCTTTCACTGTCAATTGGAGGGGGGCAGGAGGAGGGGGAGGGCTATTGTCACCAAATTATGAGTGCAAACGTGTATTCCATTATCTTTTAAAAGAAGCTGGATATTTAGTTCGAGTTCGTTTGCACAAACTTATATTGTCAAGTATGAATCAGTGATAAATCAAATTATTACTGATCATCTATAATTTTATATTCAGGAAACAATTACTGAACATGTGGGTATTCTTAAACTTTGTGTTGGTTCGAACAATAAGATGACAGATACATAGGAATATACTAGTCCTCGTAAATTGATCATGTAGAGCTTAATAATAAGATCTCTCTCTCTCTCTCTCTCATCAGAGAAGGAAGATGCCTTATTGATTATGTAAAATGTGGTAATACTAATTAGTTCACGATCTTGATAGTAGTCTGCACACTTTAGGAAAAAAAATTGATTTTTGGGAAATTTAGTAATGTGGTCAACCACAATTTTTAGAACTTGTTTTATGTGGTTTCGTCTGAGAAAATCGTGTTCAAGCAATTAGCTCACCCTGGTGCTGATTAAAAATTAATATGATTGAAACAGAAAAAATGCTATAATCTTAATAATCTGCTTAAGAAGAAAATTCGGTGCAGTGTAGTACTTTGGCAAATTAATTTATAAGCTTTTAAAAAATAACCAAAAGTCTCTGAGGAGACTATAGCTCTACTGGTTAGTACTTAGTAGCACCTAGAATTGAAGCACTGTTTTTGTTGTTGTTGTTGTTTTGTTTTGTTTTGTTTTGTTTTTTTGGTTTGTTTGTTTGTTTGTTTGTTTTTTTTTTGTTTTGCACTTAATTACAAAATTATGCACTAAATTACAAAATTATGTATCCTGATATGATTTCTTAACTTCCAAGTTTTGTTGCAATCAAATAAAAACTGTATGAATAGCATTTTAGAAGTTTCTTTTTGAATACATACTCTTATTTTAGTATTCGTGTGTACAAAGTTTCATATTGTAATCAGACCAGAACTGTAGGAGGTACTTGTACATAGTGATTTGGAAGAATTTCACAAAAATTCTATTTTTATTAATCACTGCAACATGTTCATCGAAATTTTAATATGAACTAAAAAAAGATATAAAGAGATATACGATGACGCAAAAAAGTGAAAATTTACAACAACAAAAAAGAAAAAAAAAGGAAACAAACAACAACAATTTTTGCATGGTCCATGAAATTTTGTTCAATTCTTCGAAAAATTCTTCAGGTTTCATAAAAGTACAAGTACAGAACCTAAAAAAACTACTTTCATATAGTTTTTTTTTTTTTTGATCTGGCCCAAGATGAAAATATTGCTTCTCTTACTTTATTGTACGAAGAAAAATTGAACAAGTTACCATAGTCTCAAATCCAAAGAAGTGGAATGTCGGTAGACCGAAGATTTCAATCGCATCATCTCGGATCTTTCCGTCATAGGTCGGAAAAACAAATTAACGTGTTATAAATTTATACAAGATGGAGTCGCCTCCTATCTATTAAAGTATTGGAAAGACAGAGTTATAAGTCACTCCTGTAGTATATTTTAGGTAATACGTATCTTCACATTCAATAAAGTTGAGCTCCAAACTCTACAGATAAGAGGTCTCCCTACATTTATTTCAAATTTATGAAAAGGGAGGTTGTCATGGACGCCTATGTAGCACATTCGAGGTTGTTTTTCCGCTTGTCGGAAAGGCCCGAGAAGTTTCGATTGCGAAGATTTTGATATAACTTCCGAAAATATATTCCTTGCCTTTGCATGCTTCAATTCGATAAAATCAACGTGACCTTGACATGGACGATATAATACTAATGCATTATATACAACCTCTGCTTTTATTTTGAACTCTTTGCTTGTTTTACAGTGCAGTTGAGTTTGTCAAAACTTCGATATACTCATATACATGTGTATTTTTAAATTCTTTTGATGTATGATACAAACATCATAAAAGAAACACGTGATTTAAAATCAAAATTCGATAATTAGAATAATATCATGTATCTTATTGTAGTGACTACGTCTATCTGTGTATCATATTTTATTGAACTTTAATCACAATTGTAAGAGAAGGATATTTTTTGGAAAAAAAAATAGACAAAGAGACAGAGTTTTACTTTGAACAATTGCACCATTAAGTATTTGTTGGTTTTAACATCACGCACAATCTTTTTTTTTTAATTATTATTTTTGCTCGCTTGGGGGGGGGGGGGGGGGAGGGGGGGTCTTTAATCAATAATTTATATATACGCGCGTTCATAATTTTTGGGAATATCAAAAATACATATTAATTTCATTCTGTTTATACAACATTTCTGTGATAAATCACATCAGATTGACATCTCATTACGATTGCACTTTCTCTCCCATTTTTGATTAAGAAACCTCCACCAGAAGTTTTTATAAAACTTCTATATATACCAAATGAAATCAGCACTACAGCGTAATTTAGGAAAATTTCTTTTCTCCACTGATTGACTTTAAAAGCTATTCATAATGTGTACGAAAGAAAAGGAAGTTTTTCTCTGTGGGCTTTATAAGGTTTTGGGTAATCCAATATGCAGGAATCCACGTAAAGTTGTGAAGTTTCACCATATCCTATCGAGGAGCAACAGCAGGCCCGTATAACGTGGCCCGCCCCTTTTTTGAGTATAGTCTATTGGTGTAGGTTTAAGGTAGTTCGATCCTCAGGTTCTGAAAATCAGCTTTTAAGTAATTGAAAATGCTTACAAAAATGTCCCTGATTTCACAGAGTAACGTGAATTTACCCATGGTATTCCTTCAAAGTTCATCATTAAAGTTAATCATATTATATGGGGAAAATTATCGAATCTCAAATATATTTTCAGGAAATGCGAATAAAAACACCAGCTATGCATTTTCTAATTGAAACAAATATATTTTAGGATTAAAAAATATAGGTATCCAGGCATTTGGAGAAAATTGCATCTTTTTTATGCTTATACAGTATTTCAGTTCTTCTGTTTACTTCAGTTGTTATATAATACATAGTGTAAAATGCTTGTGTTATCATTGCTAGACATCACGGATCACGTCTAATTTCATATCATGTTAATAAGCATTAGTATCTAATGCTAGATTAAAAGAAATTCGATTTCTCTACAAATTAATTTATTTTTTCTTTTATGGGGTACAAATGTCAACTTTTTAAAAGACCGTTTCTAAGACTTCAGAGAACCTTGAATCATATTGAGATGTATAAAATTAAAATTGTTGCACGAAAAGATCTCAATTTTAAGCTTCACTTTGAGACTTTTTAAATAAAATAATAAATTTAAGAGTTATCCTTCCTGATTGAGGATCGGATATCCTTAATATGTAAATTTTCATTAAGATGCTGGTCCCCCCCCCCCATTTATGTTGTCGTAGTGTCACACACCTGCAAATTCCAGCAATTTATATAAAATTTACCAAAAAGTTGGAGGAAGCCCCCCCCACCACACACACACACACGAAATAGGATTTTCGAGTTTGGACAGTTTAGGTTTTTATTTCCATTTCTTTTACTTGTGAGTTTTTTTTAGAGCCCCCCCCCCCCCATTGCTATGTGCGTGAACATATATCACGACACACTAGTAATCAGACTGACTTTAGAAACCAATGGTCACATTTCATTTGGTAGTATATATACCAACCAGAGGAAGCTTTTCCCTTTCAAAATCAACATTCATTAAGGGATTCAGGCTCTAAATAAATACATAAATATTACATGCACTATAAGGACCACCCCATATCTCACCTATATATATATATATATATATATATATATATATATATATATATATATATATATATATATATATATATATATATATATATTAAGACAGGAAGACGCTGGCGAAATAGTAAGGGAGGGATAGAGATAACATACTGGAGATTCTCGAAAGTTTTCATTGAAGTTTTTAGATGATCGAAGACATATTAGAGCAGAACGATTAACAGCTACAAGGGGAAACATAACTCCTTTAATTTACGGAGGAGCAAACGTTATGATAATAACATTGCTTCATTACAAGGCAAAGTTAATTTTTGGATGTTTCCGCAATTTTGTCTGGATATTTATTTTTTGCACACATTTCCAGAAAACTCTCATCAGAATTCTGAGATATTGATAGTGCTTCATCCAACAATCCTTCTTTTCCTTGTATTTCATTGAAACCTATTCACAACGTCTTTTAAAACGTATCTTGCGGAAAAACACAGAGTGAAACACAAACAGACAGCTAGACAGACAGACAGAGCGAAACATAGACGGAGCAAAACATAGACAGACAGTGAATCACAAAAAGACAGAGCAAAACAAAGACAGCAAAACACAGACAGAGCGAAACACAGACTGTTAGACAGAGCGAAACACAGACAGACAGCGAAACACAGACAGGGTGAAACACAGATAGAGCGAAACACAGACTGTGAGACAGAGCGAAACACAGACAGAGCGAAACACAAATAGAGCGAAACACAGACTGTGAGACAGAGCGAAACACAGACAGACAGCGAAACACAGACAGAGCGAAACACAGATAGAGCGAAACACAGACTGTGAGACAGAGCGAAACACGGAGCGAAACACAGATAGAGCGAAACACAGACTGTGAGACAGAGCAAAACACAGATAGACAGCGAAACACAGATAGAGCGAAACACAGACTGTGAGACAGAGCGAAACACAGAAAGATAGACATTTAAACACAGACAGACAGAGCAAAACACAGAAGTCAATGTGAACATTACATGGGAAGTGGTCATATTTACTGTATACAATATCTAAGCATTATCATATATTTATCTTCGCTGAAACTCTCTCATTTTTAAGTCAAATGAAAAAATGTCAGGAAAAGCGATGAGAAATATTTCAATGGGATGCTACATTCCTTTTCTACATCAAAAAATAGCAAAGACAAATACAATTTAAGCAATTCTATAGACATATTTACTGCTCTAAATCAATTGTTAATACCACATTACACAAAAAAGACTAAGACTTTCAGTTTGAATTTGACTTTCCGTTTGCCTCTCTGCCTCTTTGTTTGTCGCCATGTTTGTCGATATCGTACAAATGACCTTTGACCCTTCTGAGATACTTCAGCAGTCCTCTAACCTCTCCAGTAACTAGCTTCTTTTGATCCTCCACTGCTTTTCTTTCCTTTAATATTTTCCTGCCATCGTTGTCTTCCTTTATTTTTCCTCTCCGGTCTTTTGTTAACGGTTTTGCTGTATCCCCAGATGGCTTACCTTTTCCATTCTGATTCTTATGACCCTGATAGTTTTCTTTTCCGTTCCCGGGTCCTTTCTGTTTCCTTTGAGAATTCTGGAGGATGTTATTAACTTCTTTATTCTTCCAGTGTTTCTTGTCTTTTTTGTTGTTGCTTTTGCTTGAGTGCGGCTCCACGTGACCATGAATCGTTTTTAGACCATTTTCAGTAGGGAGCGGGGTTTTCCCCTTTATATTACTCTTTTTTTTCGAATTCTTCTCTAAGCCAGCTCGATTGTTTTTCTCATTTTTCTGCTTACAACGAATTTTCAGTTTCTTTTTTTCATACATACATTTACGATATATTTGCATGCACGTAGGGTACCTTTTGGTCTTGCCACATGTCGCCCGGGCGAGCATTTTATTTTTATCTGTTCTATACCGATTCTTCATTTTCTTTCTCCCACGTATATTTTTCTTATTATAAGTCTTCTGACCCTTTTGTTTACTATCCTTCTTTTTTGAGCCTCCTTGCGGATGTAATTTCTTCGGGTTGTTATGAACGGCGCCGCCTTTTTGGGGTTTCTTTATTTTTGGGTTGCTTTTACGTCTATCATTATGTTGTTTCTTTTCCGTGGCTTTGGGTTTTCCCTTTTCCGGTGCTTTACTTGTACGAACACTAGTATTTGTCGTTACAATGCTCTGTGTTGTGGGTTTTACAGTGGCCGTGATATTGGTCTGAGTTGTATTTGGAGAGGTGATTGGTTTCTGCTGAGGTGGTGGTTTACCGGAAGAACCGCCATTGTTTCTTTTGTTTAAATCGGACAACTCTCCAATGTCGTCCTCGAGCTCGGACAACAAATTTTTGAAGGGCTCCTCCACGTCTTCTGTTAGTGATAAAAATGCACAGATTAGAACATGTTTGTAACAGAAATCGTTTCATGCTAAAATTATATAGGTAAAACAGAACTTTTTTTTCAAACCCACCATCTTTTTGTTCTTTGAAGTTTCTCTTCTCCTCAGATCTTATTTCATCTAAGAGACCGGCGTCGTAGTCATTGCTGCAACAAAGTAAGTGAGAAAATGAAACGAGGAATGTTAAAAATTGGAGGAAACTAGAAATGGTTGTTTGCTAAATTAAAATTTTCATTAAGATTTCGTATAAAGGTAAGAATATTTCGGAAACAAAAATTTTAAAACCATAATTTTTTTATTTTTAAAATCTCTTTTTTAATAAGTTGACGCCCGGAATGCATCTTTTTATAGTCTAAGAAAATTGTTTCTTTTTGTATAGTTTAAGGAAATTCGTGTTCATGTTCTTTTGCGAGATAAACTGATGTAATGTGCTTCTTTTTTAGTCACCTGAGTCACTCAGTTTCGAGTTATATAGTGAACTAATTTCGACCAATTTTGGCATATAGCATAAATAGGCAAAGGGGTACTAGAATGATAACTTTCATGGTCCCTGCTCCCCTTGGGCCTAAGGGGTGGGACTAAAAACCATCAAAATTACTGCTATCTTTTAAAAAGTTGACGTCTCTATATGAGTGAAAAATTTCGAACGGGACGTAAAACAACATACAATCAATCAATCAGTCCAACTGTTGGCATGATTGTAATAAGCATTGAGCCCTTTATGAAATTGTAAAATTCATGGCCCCAGGGTCAGGGTGTCTGGAATTGGGGTGGGGCTCAAATAATTATACAGTGAAAATGCACAAATTCTTTAAAAATCTTCTTCTCTCCCCCTGCATATTTAGCAGATAAACTAAATAAAGTCTGCATGGTTATGATGAGTAAGGACGCCTCTTTCAAAAGTGACCCCCGGGTCAAGAGGGGTGGGGTGGGGCTCTGTTGATTATGTAGTGAAAATGCATTTATTCTTTGAAAATCTTCTTTTCTGATCCTGGGTATTAAGCAAACAAACTACATGTAAATATATAGTTATGATGAGCAAGGGTTCATCTTCCAAAATCGTGAATTTCAGGGCCCCTTGGTCAGGTGTTTTGGTGTTAGGGTGGGCTCTATTTTTCTATTTTTATATATTGATTATATAGTGAAAATGCATTTATTCTTTGATAACCTTTTTCTCTTCTGCTCCTTGTGTTAAGCAAATAAACTAAATGCATAGTTGTTGCTAGCAAGGGTATTTCTTCCACAATTGTAAAATTCGTACGTGGCCCCAGGGTCAGGGGTTCTGATGTTGGGGTGGTCTATTGATTATATAGTGAAAGTGCATTAGGGTTTTCTTTGAAAATCTTCTTCGCTGCTCCTGGGTATTAAGCAAACAGAGTAAGCACACTGTACATAATTATGATGAGTTACAGTGCCTTTTCCAAAATTATGAATTTCGTGACCCCTGGGTCAGGGGTTCTGGTTTTAGGGCAGGACGCTATCAATATAGTGAAATGCATTAATTCTTTTAAAATCTTCTTCTCTACTCCTGGGTATTTAGTAAATAAACTATGTGCATGGTTATTATGAGCAAGGTTGCCTCTTCCAAAATTGTGAATTTCATGGCTCCTCGGTCAGGGATTCCGGTGGTAGGACAGGGCTCTATAGATCAGATATTGAAAATGCTTAAATTATCTAAATATCTTCTCTGCCCCTGGGAATTTAGCAGACAAATTAGTTGCATAGTTATGATGAGCAAGGATGCATCTTCCAAAATTATGAATTTCATTTTTAGTCTACTGAGAGAAGTTATTCCCCTTTGCTATTCACCTGTGATAATTAATCACTGTAGATAATGTAACTGAAAACTCAATTGAATGAGAGAATTGTACAAGAATTTTGATAATTTATAATACAATAAGTACTTTCATAATTTTTAATGGTCGGATAGGGTTGCATTTTGTTTGTTATGTTTGTTTGTTGTTTAACGTTCCTCTAGAGAATTTTTCACTCATATGGAGATGCCACCATTTACCGACGGAGGGCTACAAATTTATACATATACTCGGTACTCAGGGTCATTGAGCAGTGAGGGATCTTTTTCGGACCAACACCTACTGCGACACGGGACCTCGGTTTATACGGTTTCACCCAAAGGACCGGTCTACATGTCCCGCAGTGGATTCGAACCCGCGACGTAAGGATCAAGTGGTTGCGTCTCCATATGAGTGAATAATCCTCGAGAGGGACGTTAAACAACAACAACAAAAAAAAAAAACCCAGACAAATTGGAATCAAACAAAAACTGTAGAGAAATATTTCAAAAGACTTTCAAAGAAATTTCTATTTTTGCAACTATGGCAACACTGTTCGTGTAGTGCGTATGACCGAAATTGGACTTCAATGAGATTATCATATAAAGAAAATTCTGTTTTAAGTAACCTAGACACTGCCAAAATATCACCAAATCATGCCCTAACAAGTCTACTTGTGCATAATATTCTACCAAGTCTTATTGAACTCGTGCCAAAACTGTAGTGAGAAGTAGTGTTTTGAAACATTGATTCTGACAGAGACGAACTTCAACTTCAACGTGGATATTCGCAAAAATCCAATAAGGACATTTACTAGCGAGGACTGTGTACTTGAACTATGAACGACGGTCACCTTACCATCTAACTTCCGTTTCAGATTTGGACTTAGCCTTTAGGACTACTATAAATGTATCATGACGGGTGTTTGACCAGTAGAGCTAAAAACAATTATACTAAAATGTTTATACTTACTAATCGTTATTATCTGCCAAAATCAAGCAAACACAAAGGAAAATGGACAAGATGAACAAATATGCACGCCTCATATCTCACATCGTAAACATTACTTTTCCCCTACGTCATAAACTATGACGTCATTTTTGGAAATGAATTCTCGGGAGTTTTCGGTGACCATACAGTCCTGAAGCGACTGAGTACTGAGTTGACCATGTAGATCTGTAGAAAAAAAGGCAAAATAGGGCTTATATTCCTCGTTGCTAGTGTCGGTAGATATAAGAAAATTACCATCAAGGTTAATTCATAAGTGGGAATGAATCTTAAAGGGGGACGGGGCATATAATTAGGGCCGAACGTAAAATACTACGTGTTTTAGATGATTAAAATTTATACCCTACTAATACCCCACTTCTTTAAAGAAGTTTATAACTCGTTAGAATTACTAAATCATGCCTACAAAAGGAAAAAAGAGTATTTTTTAATTGCTGTGCCTAATTCACCTAACACTCGTTTATCGTTCTTGGGGGAAAAGTATTGTGTCTGATAAGGTTCCATGCAGGACAATTTCATTTTCGTACAAGATGATCTGACGATTTCAAATAAACTATGAAGATGTTAAAAAACGGTAAAAGTTTCTCAAATGGAGGTTATTAGTATGTGGGGAGTGGGTTGGAGGTGCACAGTTGATTTGCCTGATAAACTTTATACATCCGTATTCATAACTCAAAACAAGAGGCCAACAGGCTGGTGCATTCATGAATCCTCTTTCTCTTCAGGACTGAAAAGATGAAGACTACAAACAGTGATCGATCTTAAAAAAAATCTACAAACAATACACATCTGTGAACAGGGCATAAAACACGGACCCCGGGAAATTCCAGAGGTGGGATCAGGTGCCTAGGAGGAGTAAGCATCCCCTGTCGACCAGTCACACCCGCTCTGAGCCATTTGTATTGATCAGATAGACGGAACATTCCGTAGTCAAATTAAGTATAAAAACAAAGGCCTGACAATAGGTATAAATAAAAAGTCGGCCAACATACGACCCAGTGATAGGTTATAGTTGCTAACAATTAAGGTCATTATAAAGACCATAGAATTTACGAAATGCTGGCTTTATAAGAGGTTTTGAAATACCGGTACCTGTAATATCAATTATCTGTCAGTAGTCTGCCTCGGTTTTAAAATTGATCATACTCAGAGAATGTTCTTGAGTATTGAATAAGTTAGGAGACGTGAACACCATTGCAGGTGATAACGGAATATTACTACATAAATAAGGAAAGCTGAAGTCATCTGAAAAAATGAATGTGGGAATAATATCCCTTACTATGATCTGCAACTCCATCCAGGTTTTCCATTATGTTTCTTCAACTGTACAGTATATTATTGGTATTTAATGCCAAGTTAGATAGCCTTGTTTATATAAATTATATATATTATAGTATGACAATCGAATTAAAATCAGATCCTTTGATCCGCTCACAGATCCGATTTTAATCAGATTTTTCTATACATGGAATCTGAATCTTCGTCTTATCCTGACTTCAGGAGCACAGATATAGTATAAATGAGAGTCTGATTTCTTGCAAATAGATTTGCAAAATTACAGCCCATTTCTTGTTTCAAAAATAATTTTTATAGGAATTTTAAGTACATTCATATCTTTACAAACATTAACTTTTATAATAGTCTTATAATTTGATTCTGAGGTCCACGACTTTCACCAGGGTTATTGAACATATTGTTTGACGACTGTATCCTTTTGACCATTTTTTATTGTTCCTTGGGAAAGGGCAAGTCCATACGTTTGAACAAATTAATATTATAAGTTTTTTTTTAAGACATGCTGCGCTGTGCTTAGTTTTGGATAAAAGTAAAAAGATATTTCGGCAAAATCATTTAATTACAAGTCTATCATGCATGTACATTCGCAATCAAATCCAATACAAATAGTCAATCCCGGTAGATTTGAATTTTTAAGACAGCACAGAAATCTCTAATAACACGTGACTGCTTGGAAGTAGCATGCAGTGATGTGAGATCTTTTTTTCTGGACTTCTCTCAGTTCTGCTTCGCTCGCTCCCAGTTCTTGTAACGTCTCCTCTACAACGACCATCAACCTCGACAACATATTGTTGGCTATCTCCTGCCACTGGGAACTAACGTGTCTGGACCTCTACAAGAAATATAAATGATCATGGTACTGTAACTTAAAATAGATTACTAGTGTGAATTTTTTTTCTTCCAAAAAACAGTATTTATCGTGTAAATAAAACCAAATTCGAAGATGGACTTCCAAAAAGATATATCTGCAATAAGAATTTTGTCGATTTGTAAAGAAGGTTAAATCTTCGTTATCAGGGCCTGAAGATTTTAATTGTAGTACGTACATGTATACTTTCAATATACTTTCATGTGGATTAGTTGAATCTGATTATACTTTCATTTGGATTAGTTGAATCTGATTATACTTTCATGCGGATTAGTTGAATCTGATTATACTTTCATGCGGATTAGTTGAATCTGATTCGTCGAAGAACACTGAACTGAACCCTCTGAATGATGAAACCACGACTTCCAGCGTGATAGAACGTAGCAACAGTCAACATTGCTAGACAGCAGATGATGTTCCGAAAAATATTGACTGTGCAGAATTTATGTGCGCACGGTTCATATCTGTTTCAATATGTTCATTGTTTCAGATCATTAGAATCTATCTTTAATGAAAATAAGGAACATTATAGATTTTACAGTAATAATTACTTTCCTGGAAGAAGGTTACAAAATTTTAAATGAATTCTCGATTTACAAAGAATGCTGTAATCCCTCATTCCACCCCTTTTCTCTAGTCGAGGTGGAAAATGATTATAACTTGCTAATTTAAGGAACCTTCGTACTGTCAATATTGAGAGCTGTCATGTCAATTTTTAATATCCTTTCGAAATCATCTATTATATTTTACTCATAGTTCTAATAAAACACAGTTGTACGTGCATGCATATAGTGCCACAGAAATGTAATACATGTATATGCCTTTTGAGAATATAATCTTCAAAATGTCCTACGGTATACGTTTAAAATTAAGGAACAGTGACTTCGCATAAAAGGAAATACGCTGTGGTTAATAAAATAAAATACATGTACCCGTAACAGTAATATTTACAGTATTTGCATATTTATAATAACTACTCATAACGAGGATTAAGCTGAGGTAAAAAGACATGTCTACAAGATATCTGACCACAGTTATATATTTTGGAAAATATTGTCATCGCCCACACTTTTGTTAGAAGAGAGACAACTCTATCTCGTTTGTCCACGAAAGCAAAAAAAAAAAAAAAAAAAAAAAAAAAATCTCTGATGAGACTGTAGCTCTACTGGTTTGTACTGATAATAAAGAGAAAAGTAGCACTTGGACTCGAAACTTTTTAACAGAAATAAATAGAATAATGATCCTTGGATAAGTCTCTTTTTGTGGCAAGATTAACTGCAATCAAACTAAAACTGTTGGAGAAGCCTTCTGAAATAATTTTCAGAAATTTTTATTTTAGTAACCATGGCAACACCATACATTGAAAACAAAAACTGATAAAAAGAATTATATAGCTTAGTGCAATCTATTTCTGTGCCAAGTCATACTGAAATCAAACCAAAACTGTCGGAGGAGTAACGTTTTGAAAGAATTTCACAGAAATTTCTATTTTTAGTTACCAGGGCAATACGTACCGTTTATCGAAATCAAAAACCAATAAAGAGAATTATGTATCTTAGCGTAGTCTACTTGTGTGCCAAGTTATACTGAAATCAGACCAAAACTGTTGGAGGAGTTTACAGACAGACAGCTGGACAATTTACAGACAGACAGCTGGACGGACGGATGGACACCTTACTATCGCATAAGCTCTTCCGGTCTCCGACTAGTAGAGCTAAAGGGGGGGGGGGCAAAAACTTCACTGTATACAGTTATACTGAAAGAAAAATAAATATTGCATGTATTTCCCAGTCTTTATTATGAGAGTACTCACGTGCTTGAATCCAAAATACATGTATTCTAATAAATGAGGAATACATTTTTGAAAAAAGTTAGTCTTGTGTATGGAAAAAAGTTGACACATATACAGTGTACTCGTACGAGTAGCTACACAAAATTTATTGAATCGCTCGTACATCTTCAATGTCATTTTTTTGGTTCTTTTTTCCTCTCCAGAACAACTTAGTATGACCTAAAATTTGTAACACATTTTTTCCCAAAACAACTTGGTATAACCTTAAATTTTTTAGCATAAACATTTTTTATATATAATAAAACAATATGAGTAAATCTTACCTTCTGTAAGCCTTGGTGCTTTTCTACTTGAGATCCACTAACTGGATGACCAGACGCGATACTGCCAGACATTACAGCAAACACAAAAATCGTCAAAAACGTCATTCTGTCCAGTCCAAAATTAAAATAAAGTCCTAACACTTTCACAATCTCTTATAAACGATATTTCCGTTCTTATTAGCTCTGGATGAAACACCAAATAAGTGCATTTGATTAAACAAGTGTTCTGTTCTCCACTGGGAAACGAATTGGTGCGCAATCAAGATTTCAAGAGAGTTTTTTGGACATTCGGCCTACAGCAAATACGATTCCTCTACATTTCACACATTTCAAGTTAATAATCCGCCGTCTTTTTCCTAATATGATTGACTTTTCTCATGAATGGCCAATTTGCTAATGAATTGAAAAAGGCTAAAATTAATTTCAGACAGAAAAAAACTTCTTGTAGCATATCTTTTCCAGTATCACTCTGATTTCATGAATGAATGAAGAATTTATAAACGGAAAAAATTAATTAGTGATCGAACAAAAAAACAAACAAGTCTGGGGTGCTGGAATTTTTAGGCAATCGTGGGATACCAACAGTGTTTATAGACATGCAGTGATAATACTGTTAATAATTTATATTACTCTGTGTATAAATTAATATTATTCTGTGTATAATCGAAATTGGCCATGAATATGAACTTTTTGTCTCAATTTTCAACGGAGAAAAACTATCCCGGTTCAAAATTCAGCGTTGAAAATTAAATCTAGGGTCAATTTTAAACCCGAGTCAATAATCAATGTTACACCAGGACATGTAGTGTTTGTCATGTCCGTCTTTCCGTCCGTCACACCGTTTGCCTTTAGGTCAGTTTCAAAGAAATTATTCGAGATATTTCTATCAAGCTTTATACGCTGATACATACTGATGAGAGCTATTTAACTGCATCAACATTTTTTGACCTAGACCATTCCTTTGACCTTGACCTCACTTTTCTTAAAGTTTTCTTTAGCTCAATTTTAAACAAAAAGAAACTATTCAAGATATTTTTATCAACCTTCATATGCTGTCATATCGATGAGAGCTATTCAACTGCATCAACATTTTTTTTTTACCTTGACCTTTCCTTTGACCTTACTTTTCTTAAATTTGTGTTTAGCTAAGAAATTAATCAAGAAATTTTTATCAGTCATACATTTTAGTGATTACTATTGAACTTCTTGTCTTAACATAAGTTTCAACAAAATTAATCAAGATATTTTTTCTCAATCTTCATATGCTGATACATTTTAGTGATTGCTATGGACTTTTTGTCTTGACATACATGTATATACTGATAGATATTGGTGAGAATTATTCAACTGTGTCCAATATGTATGACCTTTAATTTTCTTAATTTTGCCTTTAGCTCAATTTAAAGAAACTATCTGAGATATTTTTTATGTAAGCTTATGGACTGATACAGAATTTGGTGAAAATTTATCAACCATGTCCATTTCTTTTTACCTTGACCTCCCCCATGACCTTTGACTTTACTATTCATTTTGTATAAAACTCACTTTTAAAGAAACTGTTCAAAATATTTTCATCAAACTGCATACACTAATGCAGATTTTCATGTTGCATTACTAATAAACCCTGGATGGGACATTCACGTCCTATGGACATATTTTTAGTTTAGATACATAAATTACTTACTGTAATAGTTTTATTTCAATGAACCGAATGCTTTTTCATGAGCTAATAATTTGTTTGAGGGGGGGGGGGGGGGGTTCCAAATTGCTTCATAAGCTCAAATCAAGATGACTTTCTCAAAAAATTGATTCAACATTTCCAGTAAACTATACAACGTTTTATTGTCAAATTACATTATGTGAGACCAGCTTCAATGATCTGTTACTATATAGTACAATGTTACAACATTAGTTATTGCACATGTACATGTACATTCACATGTACTGACATGTTACCTGTAAAGGGAAGACAGCTTGATTATTCAGGGGAAATTATCTACATGTATATGATAAAGTAAAAGTAAAATTAATCATTGAACATCAAGTGGAAAAAAAAATATGCAAACAGGGGAAAATAACATAATTATTCCATATTATTTCTATGTCTCTGATTTGTCAAAAACGCAAAACATAGTCTTCAACATGGACTTGTCACCAACACAAAAAAGAGTCTTCAACATGGACTTGTCCATATCAAATACAATGTCAATTCTTAAAATGCTGAGATTTTAAACTTTACAATAACATAGAGTGCCTTGCACTTCATTTTGTTCATGACTAGAAAATAGTATCACTAAATTAATTACACTAAGAAGTTGGGAGTTCTATATGTAGAACAATTCAGGGTTCTGCAGTTTGAGCATTATTCTCTATAGCTATATCATATATATCAATCATATATATCAATCTAGGATTAAAAGTGTGAATGTTGACAGATTTTGACCCATTGAGACTGAAACACAAAAACAGTCCCCATTTGAAACTTTTTCTCATAAAATTCTAATTCCTGACAATTTAATCTGAGACCCCCCCCCCTTTTTCACCTCCTACATCTTAAAAAAAATCACTAAATATCACTTGAAATAATTCTTTTAAACAGCTTAAATTAAAGTTACAGAAGCAGAAAATACTCTATATGTGAGTACATTTCATTGTGGCTTACCTATGTTTTAATGTAAAGCCAACCCTTAAAATATATTGCAGCTACTAAAGTGCATATTTAATAAGCACCCTATGATTTTGTATTTCCAAGGTCCCAAAGAACTTACTTGGATAAACATGCCAATCTATAACATACAAAGTCAATACTGTTGGCTTGAGTTATCAAATCACACAAAATCAAAGCTTTTGATTGCTTGAGTTAAATGTTAAAAAAAAACAAGAGGCCCATGGGCCTTGAATCCCTCTTCTGATAAACTGTGCAACCTATCACTTCTATTTGAACCCTCGAAGTATCCTGTATATTTAGATAAACCCTTGAAATTCCAATTCACACTCTGAGAACCCAAGATGATTCTAAGCCAATTAGTACCTGAGAGTTGGTCATGGTGACCCACTTATCACTTGTCATTGTCTGAGGACCCATCAACTAAGTTTGATGATTCTAAGCCAATTAATACCTAAAATATTTTCTAAAATTATAATCATAAAATTTTATAAGTAGGTCAAAGTGACCTACTTTTCAATTGTTGTACTCCAAGGACCCAAGATGCATCAATTGACAAAGTTTGATTTTAAGCCAATTAGTACCTGAAATATTTAATTAAAGCCATAAATTTTCAAAAGTAGGTCACGGTGACCTACTTTTCAGTTGCTGTACTCCGAGGACCAAAGATACATCGACTGACAAAGTTTGATGATTCTAAGCCAATAAGTACCGAAAATATTTAATTGAAGCCATAAATTTTCAAAAGTAGGTCACAGTGACCTACTTTTCAGTCAATCTACTCCGAGGACCAAAGATGCATCAACTGACAAATTTTGACAATTCTAAGCCAAATAATTCCTGAAAATATTAAATACAGCCATAAAATTTCAAAAGTAGGTCACCATGACCTACTTTTCAGTTGTCGTTCTCCAAGGACCCAAGATGCATCAACTGACAAAGTTTGATGATTCTAAGCCAAAAAGTACCCAAAATATTTAATTAAAGCCATAAATTTTTAAAAGTAGGTCACCGTGACTTACTTTTCAGTTGTTGTACTCCGAGGACCCAAGACGCATCAACTGACAAAGTTTAATGATTCTAAGCCAATTAATACCCAAAATATTTAATTAAAGCCATAAATTTTCAAAAGTAGGTCACCATGACCTACTTTTCAGTTGTTGCACTCCGAGGACCCAAGACACATGAACTGACAAAGTTTTATGATTCTAAGCCAATTAGTACCCAAAATATTTAATTAAAGCCATAAATTTTTGCAAGTAGGTCATGGTGACCTACTTTTTAGTCGACCTACTCCGAAGACCCAAAAGTCATCAACTGACAAAGTTTGATGATTCAAAGCCAATTAGTACCCCATATATTTAATTAAAGCCATAAATTTCAAAAGTAGGTCACTGTGACCTACTTTTTAGTCGACCTACTCCGAAGACCCAAGATGCATCAACTGACAAAGTTTGATGATTCTAAGCCAATTAGTACCTGAAATATTTAATTATAGTCATATAAATTGAAAAAAATGTCCAAATTATGCTTCTAAAACGCTTTGAAATCAAATGCCTGCAAAAGTTCAAAAAGTAGGTCACTGTGACCTACTTTTTAATAAATATCTTTTATGGCCCCAAGATGCATCATCTTACAAGATTTAATAATTCTAAACCTCTCGGTATTCGAATTATTGACCTTAATTGTTTTGAGAAAGATAAGCCATAAAATTCAAAAAATAGGTCAAGGTGACCTACTTTTTAGTTGACATACTTCGAGGACCTAAGATACATAAACTGACAAAGTTTGATGATCATAGGCCTTAAATTGTTCAAAATATGCCTCTAAATCATTTTGAAAAAGAATAGCCGCAAAATTTAAAAAGTAGGTCACCATGACCTACTTTTGAGTCAACATGATATGAGGTCCTTAGATGCATCAACTGACAAGATTTGATGATCCTAGTCCTTATAGTAAGCAAAATATCAACATTTTAATAAAATGTAATTTTTGGTCAACTTTGAAGTGACCTTGAGACCATGCCCTTTGCCCCAGGGTAAATCCCCGTGCAAATTTTAATCTACAGCATATCCTCATCCTTTTGTGTAAGTTTGGTGATAATCTGCCCAGTGGTTCTTGAGAAGAAGATTTTTTAGCAACCAGTACTTTTGTTTCTATTTTCCTAATTATCTCCCCTTGTTAAAGGGTCACAACCCCAGTTTTAGTACAAAAGGGAGCCCTTGGGCCAAGGATACCTTGTGACAAATTTGACAATAATTGGCCAAGGGGTTCTTGAGTTATGGCCCATATTCTAAAAAGTTTACGCGCACCGCACACCGCACAAATGGCCATAGCATTAGCTCTTTGAGCCTTTGGCTCAGAAGAGCTAAAAAAAGAATGACATGAAATCATGTACTTCATCTTCAGTGACTGAGATATAGAAATTGAACTTAGAAAACTAAAAAAAAAACCCATCTCATGAATACAAGAGTTTAAATCAATTGGTTAAGAACAATTAATTCTCAAATGCTGAAAAAATACCAGTTCTTAACTTACATTTAGCATTATTCCTAGTTTTGTGCACTTGGTGCTTTCCTTAGCACATAAATTCTTAATCGCCACTTGGTAATTAATCAGCACTAATTTATATGAAATATACAGGTGTTTAAAATGTACCTTCTTTTTGCCCCATGAGGGCCCTTAATTGGTAAATAAACAATTGAATTGAAAAAATTGAATTGAATTGAATTGTTTAAAGAATCATATCAACATTAATTCATGTTTGCTCCAAAGTTTATGCTAAATTTTTGAAAGCATGTCAAATAATTTAAAACTTGTAAATAAAAACAGACATATTCAGAGCTAAAAAGTTCCTATGCTGAAAATTATGACAATTCAAATCAGATACCTTGGTAAAAATTATGCTAGGCCAAATGTAAAAGCAAACTTCTCTACAAAATTTTGAGAGAAAAAAATAAAGAAAAAAATCACAACAGTACCAAAAATAAAATATCTTCCTAGAGCAAATGAAAGGCCATAGGCCAGTATAAGATCAATGTAGCCCCTGTTATAGAGCTTAATAACCCCATAGGTTCTTACACTTCCAATCCAAAGCATGAAACCAATACCCTCAATACCAAAGGAATATAATTCATCAGTTCTGTTAGAGGGGTTACTGTCCATCATGAAAATCATGAAAACAGTTTTTTGTATGCTAAATAAAATTACATGTACCAATAACTGCAAAAATGGGGGGAAAAAATCATGTCATGGCTTTACTTTACCCTAGGAGGTTCAGGATTGTGAAGTTTTGAATATTTCATATTCTTCCTAAGGGATATTACCTTTATAAAAACTGCTTAAAATAGTTTCAAAAGTTTCTGGAATAAAGCCTACTATTTTGAACACTTTATAATAAGGGCACAGAGGAGGGACACTCATTAATGTCACCTTAAGAAATTGGGTGACCCTTAAATTTTAATGATTTTTCATTTGTATATACAAGGATATCAACTGAGCATGTTTTCATCATGGCACGAAAGTCTGGCTGATGTAGAGACAAAATAGTGATCAAAAGTTCTTATAAAAGCATAGCAAAGTGTTATATTAATTAAAATTGAAAAGTATTTTTAAAAAAAATATGCAATGTAAAATAAAAAAATTGCTTAAAATACAAAATTATATGTCCCATTAAAACAAAGCAAAATGAATTAAAAATTCAATATTTGTGAAGGGTGAATATCGGAAATGGTTGAGAGTATTCTGCGATGAGAGGGTGAGTTGTTTTGGCTTTTTTGATGAGCGGTGGGGTTACCCAACTATCAATGATACAGTATAAAAAGAAATAAAATTTGTCTATATACATCAACAACAATTATCAACTTAACAAAGATCTAAATGACACCAACAAGGAAAAACACAGCAAAAAATAAAAATCATCACATCAAAGGACAACAAATACGGATCGATGTCACTTATCAGCAATGAAGAAAATTTTAAACATGCAACAGCCATCTGAGAAAAGATGACATATATAAATCTATGAAAATGCTAAACAGTAGCTCATTTTCAAGAACACCTTTGAATTCATCTTAAGTACTACTTATATAAATAAATCTCATATTTCTGGAATATTAAAAAAAAAATATCTTTTTGACAAAAATAAAAATATAGTATTGGTACATTTACTTCATAAATACTTTTGAAAATTGGTCATTGCTGAAAAAAATCAGCAGAACATCACTCTTTAAGGTGGATCATTCCTCTTCTAAGAGAGATAACTTTACATCAGCAAAATAAAAGTTTTTGTTTTTAAAAAAAAGCACTGCATAAAGAAATCAAATACAATAATGTATGAAAGACACAATTTCTAAAATTGAATGTTGTGTGATGCATTAAAAAGAATACGGCCACACTGGAGTAACCTAACTTTTAAGATCATCTGAGCCTAAGATCAAGGGAGCTTCTCTGATCAATCCTTGTTAATTATCTGAGTAGCTGTCTGTCTGTTGTCTGTTTGTTAACTTTTCCCATTTTCTACATCTCCAGAACAAATAAGCTAATTTCAACCAAAATCATTCTTTGTTCAAGAAGACTTAAGTTTGTTCAATTGAGCTGCCATTCTCCACTTTGAAGGGGATATAAATGACACAGTGTCATTTTAAAACCTTTTCAACAACAATCAGTGTTTTTTTTTCAAATGATTCAACAGCAATTAAAACTTAGAGCTACCTTACATACAACAAGACAATGAGTAGTAAATTTATATTAACTGACTGAAAACTGCTGAAATCACTAGTTTTAAAGGAAAGGAACACATAACTGGATTTTTTTTGTCTTTCTTTCTTTTATCTTATTATTATTTTATTCTTTTACATATTCATTTCCATTTGAAGTGAAATGCAATTCAGGTAAGCACTGTGGCTCAAGGGCCTCATTTTGTAACATTCTGTAAAATTCATTAATCATAAAAACATTTTTGTTTCTTCAAACCTGCTGAAGAGATTTTTTAAAAATTTGTTAGTGTAGGTAAAATTACATATAATAGAGTTTTGTTATACTATTCACAGGTATAAAATAATGGCTTCCTTTGCATTATGTAGCTAAATGTTAGCTATTGGCACAAACAATTCCTTTGAATTCTGAAATGAATGTCATCCATTCAGAATATCTCTAACATTCTGTACAATATTGCGTCCGTGAGATAGGGGTAAGGTGGGTGGATCAATAAATTTCCACTTCCTTGTGATCACATCCTCCTCGATTGCACACATGGCCACATACGGCACCTTCGGGAGGAACTCTCTGTATGACATGGTGGTCCGTGGAGTCTGCCCAGTGATGACTCGTGTGCATAAATCCAAAGTACCAGAATGACCGATGAACAAAATATTGCCTCCTAAATTTGCATAGAAAAGAAATGTTTTATAATTCAAATGCAATCTTCTTTTGTTCTTTAAAATGATTACATTCTTTCTTTCAAAATATGATTGGTTTCAGCACACATTTTATCTATCACATCTGAAGAAGATTCTATTTTCACTGTTTTGAAACTCTAACATTTTTAATTTAAAAAAAAAATTTGCCAGCCAAAGAAAAAAGAACTACAAATCATTACATATCAGTGTCTACCTGTATTTGTCTTTGCTAGCCAAGAGTTTCTGATCCACTACTCTCCTCACAAATAGTTTGTGAGGGGTGTACATGTAGCAGAAGCAAAGATGTCCTGTATTTAATCTTTCAGTTTGAGTACAAGGTTTCTTTACCTTTGCTTTCATACAGTTTAAGTATTTGCCTGGAGGTTTCTGTGGATCGAGCATACAGATTACTGATCGATTCCCCATCTTCCAGCTTGTCCCTGGGTACCTGGGGGAGGTACGAGGTTTCAATAGGGTAACCCTGCTTGGCCAAATCCTCAGGAGAAATCCACCTGGGTACAACATTTGTGTGACCTGTCCACTCAAACAAACCTGGTTCTATCTTTATTTTGTTTTGGAGTTTTAGTACTGTAAAATGTAAGTGCCAGAATTTTAAAAAACATTGTTAAAATGCACAGCACACTGACAATATATATTGTGCATATAAATGTGTTCCTAAGTAAATGTAAATAAAAACTAGAGGTACTGTGAGAACTGAACTCACAAAATGATACCCCTGTTGCTAAATGAGTATTATGGCAAAGCCATGTTTTTCTATGGGAAAGCCCAAATATCTTTCTGATTGAAATGCAAAATAGTAGGTGCACAATGACACTGTGTAAAAAAGATTCTGTGAAAGTTTCATTCAATTGCATTCAGTGATGTAAAAGGAGATGCGGATAAGAGATGGGTACCCCCAGTATCATAGAAAGAATGGCAGTGCCCATGTTTTGCTATAGGAAACACCAAATACCTTGAAATACATTTCAATTGAAATGTAAAACAGAAGTTGCACAATGGCACTACTGGTACATGTATGTAATTAAGTTTCTGTGAAAGTTTCATTAAAGTTTTAAATTTATTATTAATTCATTGTAATGGGCAGACAGACAGTCACCCCATCACTATATACCAACCCCCAACCCCCCCTTTTCAATTGAGGGTATAATTAACACTAGCTGCCTTTAAATATCTTATGTTGGATAGTATTGGGAAAATTGTGACTATCAAAACAATATCATTACCAACCTTGATAAATTTCAGTTGCTGTTTGAACACATCGTAAAGAAGGAGATGAATACACTGCTGATATTGTTATTCTATTTTCTGTCAGCGTGTCGGCTGTAAAATAATCAAAACATTGGTTAGAAACAAACTTATAAATACACATGTATAACTATTATGTAAAGTAAATCAGTACGCAAAGTAAATCAGCCAGGATAATATCTACAAACTCCTTCAAGGTTTTTACATTTTCCAATGTCTTTGTCTGAGATAAAAATACAAATAAAGAAAAACATGTAGCTTTATATCTTCATAAAGTCATTTGCTCATTACTTGACAGAACTGCCTGTTTGCTGTGTGTGGCTAATTATAATACACTAGGCAGGACTTGCAGACCTAGATTTCTAATTATTTAAATAAAAATACAAAAAATATATCTCTCTTTTCAAAATTGAATAAAGGATCAGATAAAAATGTAAAAATAGGAATATTTTTAAAACCCTGTGTTTTTTGGTTTTGAGATGATGATCAAACAGTTTGCTCATGTGATAATTTTATGTATATATAAACGCCTATGGCATTTATGCAAAATATCATGCGACCTAACTTATTGATCACATCATAACCCCCCCCCCCCAAAAAAAAAACTCTGGGGTTTATTAATACAGTGGTCCGAAGTCTGGGACCTAAAGTTTATGGGGCGGACTAGCCTCTAACAGTCTGTCGCATCAGTAGTATCAAGTAGAAAAAAAAAATGTTTGAAAAGTATAAAAATTTAAAAGAAAATCAAAAGCATGTACTTTCATTTCTTCTTAAAATCTGGTTCAAAAAGTGCACTTTGAGCACCAGTTTACTATAGAGTACATGTCACATGACCATAACGTTTGAGTGTTAATAAAATATGAAAAAAGTTTAAAACTTCAGTTTGATAGCATAAGGTTGATACATATGTGAGATGTTATGAGTCTGCAAAAATTTTATTTCAGTTTCATTTTATTTTTTAATTAGCCAATGGACTAGTGAATTAATGTTATGCACTAGACTAGTGAATTTCATAAGCTTAGTAGTCCTTGGACCAGTGAATGTTAAGGGGAAATTGAAACCCCTGAAAACTAAACAGTTATTCCTTAAAATATGCATTTACGCTATTTCATAAAACAATTATGAACTCTTTTCGTGGTGAATATGGTAATTGAAATTCACCTGAAAAATATCAATATTGACATTTTTCTGGTGAATATCAAATATTCTCTATCAAAAGAAACCCTAATTGTGTAGTATTTTCTATGACAATATTTGTAAATGAAATGCCAAAATTAGTATTTTTCTATGACATTAATATTTGTAAATGAAATGCCAAAATTAGATTATCCCTAAAAATTACTATTATTTGATATAATAATCAGAACAACAAAAAGTTAACAAACTTCAAAAAAATGAAGTGAGCATTAAGCACAGGTTAGCTAAAAATTGGAAGAAAAATGTCATAATTACCGATATTTTATTTATTACTAACCCCACCCTTAAGACTTTTAAGACTGGAAATAATCTACATAAAGATGACAAAGTATATAAAAATGCACTACATTTCAATGACATTTATTTATCTACAAGAGACACAAATTCCATACCATTACAAATGCAAATTATTTATGATTTTTTTTTTATTTAGCACAAGCCTTTTCAAGATTACTTTGTATTCTATTGCAGGAGTTTTTAAATTCATATATCTTTGTTATGCACCAACAGTCACCAACTGAAGACACATGTTCTACTTAAATACCCTTCTAGACCAGTAAAAAGAAAAAACCTGACAAATGCTAATACAGGTATGTTGTCACGTTCATGACCAGAGCACACAAATAACACTTCAATTCTGGTTGGTAAAACAGTCACCATAGCAGTCTAGCTAGAGTCAGGTAAATATCAATTAGTATATCGTTCAAAAACCTTTGAAAATTTGATATTTTTAGATTTATGTTTTAATCTACATGTATTTGTTTCATGAAAGATTGCGAAAAGATTATATTATTGTAAAATCTTTGTTTATATACTAGGCCCTGCAATATTTTTTTTGTATATCTAGAGACAAAATTCAAAGACTACCAATAGGTAAAAAAGAAAATTTCTGTTGCAAAATGTAGCTTTTATCCAAATTATCCACAAGCAAATCTACTGATATTGGTAATTAACATTTTCTAGGCATTTCCCACTTCAAAGTCTTGCTTTGTACAGTAAATAATCTCTCTGTTATTTTAATGGATTCGTATTCTAAAATGTATTTCTTCATTTCTGTTTATTAATAAGCAAAATTCTAATTTTCTCTTTATTTCAGAGCCCCAAATTCCCATCATGGACAGACATAATTGTGGCCACAAGGACCCCCATATTCGGGCCCAGGAGTTGATACTATGTGACCTGTGTAAGGCTAAAATGGTACAGGTTTACTGTGATACATGTCATATCAAACTGTGCAATGCCTGTATTGGTGAACACATAGCATCTGATGAATCCAAGAAAATACATGAAATTGTGCGATATATATTTCGAAAATCAATTCTACTTTACCATCGATGTACCTTTCATGAAAGAGAACATTGTGAAATATGCGGTAACCAATCAGAAGCTAGATCCTTTCCTCAAGACAGGCAGCTGCTTGCAAATATCACCAATACTATAAACACTGAGCATAGAATATGCCTATATAATGTGACTTGTCTGAGTGATGATGAAATCTGGACATGCGGATATGAAAGCACCATGACCCTCCACAGTATCAGTCGGGGATCACAACTGAAGTCAATTACAACAAAATCAGGGAGCATCTCCACTGACATAGCAGTAACAAAAGATGGCCATCTTGTTTATACTGATCCTAGTGACAAAACTGTGAACATTATGAAGAATGAAGGGATTAAGATTTTGATCACATTAAAGAAATGGAGACCCTGCAATATCTGCAGTACCTCTACAGGTGACCTCCTGGTTGTCATGAACAGTGATGATAACAAACATTCAAAGGTTGACAAGCAGTCAAGGGTTGTCCGTTACTCTGGCTCCACAAAGAAACAAATCATTCAGTCTGATGATAAGGGTCATCCTCTCTATTCACATGTTACCACTACTAAATGTATCATTGAGAACAAGAATCAGGATATCTGTGTGGCTGATGAAGGAGCTAAAGCAGTAGTGGTGGTCAATCACGCTGGGAGACTGAGGTTCAGGTACACTGGACATACTCCTACCCCAAGGAACAAATTTGATCCTAGAGGAATCACAACAGACAGTCAGAGTCACATCCTTGTAGCTGATATGCACAGTCATTGTGTCCACATTCTAGATAAGGATGGGCAGCTCCTCCATTACATAGACTGTGGACTGAGCAATCCCTGGGGATTGTGTATAGATACAAATGACAATTTGTTTGTTGCCCAATGGAGAAATAAAGACATAAAGAAAATCAATTATTTCCAGGGAAATTGAACACAGGACTGTAATGAAATATAACATTGTATGAAAATGTTCCTGGACGTGAAATTGGCTATCATGTTTAAATTGGGGGACAAAAATAACTATCTTGGTATATCTATTGTAAGTTGTTTGGGTAAATTATTTACAAGTGTTCTTAATAATAGGATATTAGAAGGGATACATTTCTCTGATATACTGACTGATGCAAAGTTCAGGTTTTGCATCCATTTTACACATGCTACAGTTAAAAATAAATCAAGAAATTAATTCTTTTAATAGACAATTTCCCAATCATAAATCTAACTGCTCGAATAGTTAACGACTGTCGATCTCCATGTACGACATCCAGCTCTAGACTTTTTAGTTATTATTTTTCTATGTCTTCTAAACGATTCTTCCATGGGATAACTAATCCATCCATCTATGAACCTCTTCTACTGATGTATAAACCAGTGTTTGATACATGTATTTGTGTCATTCCCTCATCCCCAGCTCTTTTCCCATATGAACAGGGGTCATACCCCACTCCATACAGAACTGAGTGATAATTTGGTGTGCCGCATTATTGCCCAACGTTGCTGTTTTTGACATTATCTAAATAATAGTGTTTGTGCATATAACATATTTTTATTATTCATAAAGTCAGAGTATTTATATTTTACACACGAGTACTCTAGATCATACAGTTTCTATTGTTGTAATTTTGCATTATATTTCCATATAGCCTGATAATAAAGAAAACATAGCTGTCAATGCAATTTTTGAAAGTCAAGAAAATGCAGTCTGCCGACCATCAATATTTTTTTTATAACACCCTTTAAATTTTGTTTCTTAATGCATATAACATTACAACCTAATATATTATTTAGCCAAAATGACGAAAATATCATTTCCCAACATGGTGCCAAAAATGAATAATTTTGGTCAGGTAGTTTATGAAACATTTAAAAAATTCGTGTTTTTCTGGGACAACCCTCATACATGTAGCACTTCAAAACAACTTTTAGATATGTTTCAAAGCAAAATATAATAAATATAGAGAGTATATCAAACTCTCTTCAAAGGGTTATTTATAATGACATTTAATTGACAAATTCTGCTTACAATTATATTTAACAAAACCTATTGACCTAAAAATAAAAATGATTATATTCTAACAAAATTTAGGTAATCTAAAGTGTATGTTGAATAGGTGTAACCTTCATGATAAAGGGGATTTCAATTCATGTTAAAATGTCCTTTGTATAATGCCTACGAAAGAATATTTAGTGTTTTTAAATTAATCAAATTGCTAGTACCAATAATGTTAAAGATCTTTTAAATTTGGACAATTTTTTTGAATGCTGCCACATTGTTTAGAAAAAATAATATTGATGTATAACTCTATTTCCATTTATGTATTTTTATATTCACTTTCCCTATGTAATTTTTTTCTTAATTACACATACAGTTGAACTTCCGAGTCTCGAATACCGATATCTCAAATACCATCGACATGTTGAAGTGATTTGAAAGTCCCATCCACATATTCTTTAAGTATTCTAACCTTGATATCTAGAATCCTCAGATATCTCGAAGTTTTTTTCTCAGTCCCATTGAGTTCAAGACAAAGAGGTTTGACTGTATTTGCTATTCTGATTAGCCATTTGGAAAATGAGGTCAAGGTCAAAGGAAAGGTCAAGGTCAATAAATGTGATAAAGTTGAAAAGCTCACCTCATTATGTATCAGCATAAAAAGTTTGAAAAAAAATATCTTGATTTGTCTCTTTGGAACTAAGCTAAACATAAATTTGAGAAAAGTGAGATCAAGGGAAAGCTCAAGGTCAAAAAATGTTGATGCAATCAAGAAGTTAACACTATTTAAAGAAAAATGAGGTCAAGGTCACAATAAAGGTCGAGTTCAAAAAATGTTGATGCAGTTGAACAGCTCTTATCAATATGTATAAGCATATATAGTCTTAAGTTTCTTTGAAATTGAGATTATCACTAATTTAAGAAAGTAAGGTCAAAGGAAAGATCAAAAATGTTGATGCAGTTGAATAGTTCTCATCAATATGTATTAGCATATAAAGTTTGATTAAAATATCTTGAATAATATCTTTTAAACTTAGCAATACACAAATTTGAGAAAAGTGAAGTCAAGGTCAAAGGAAAGGTACAAAATGTTGATGAAATTGAATAGTTCACATCAGTATGGTTTGATAAAAATATCTTTAATAGTTTCTTTGAAACTGAACTACCATAAACCATTTTTAGTAAAAGTAAAGTTAAGGTCAAAGGGAAGGTCAAGGTCAAAAAATGTTGAATAGCTTTCATCAATATGTATCAGCATATGAAGTTTGATAAAAATATCTTGACTAGTTTCTTTAAAACTGAGCTAAACGTAAAGTGTGATGGAATAACAGAGGGATGGACAGAAGGACAAAAGGAGGGAAGGATGGAAGAGGGACATGAAAAACACTATATGCCCTGGCCATATTCATGGTGGGGCAAAAAATTATCATGAATAGTTTTTTTGAAACTGAGCTATACACAAATTTGAGAAATGGAAGTCAAGGACAAAGGAGAGGTCAAAGTCAAAAAATTATGATGAAGTTGAATAGCTCTCTTCAAATTTGATAAAATATCTTGATTTGTTTCTTTGAAACTTTGCTAAACACATATTAAAGAAAAGTCAGGGTAAAAGCATCGTCTCAAGCCACGGTCGGAGTCTGCATATAGCTCTCTCCTACCCATAAAAAGTGTCGTAATCTTGAATATTTATGCCTCTATATTGTAACATCATGTTCATCCAAGAGAATATTTCTTTCCATCACAATTGAAATCAACAATTGACATCAACAGTATACAAGAAATATTTTGTATTCTGCGATTGGGTATTGAAAGGTCGCATCAAAGTACATTATCCGACTATGCTTTACTCGCATTGGTCAATATTTTAATGAGCTACGAAATATTTTCTTCTCATTTAACCACGGCCAGAATGGGAGAGGATCATACATTTTAGCCATGGTTTGTGACGATGGGGTAAAAGGAAGGTTAAGGTAAAAAATGTTGATGCACTTGAATAGTTCTCATGAATATAAAGTATAATCATATGATGTTTGTAAAAATATATTTTGAATAGTTTCTTTGAAATTTAGCTAAACACAATTTTGAATTAATGTCAAGGTCAAAAAGTTGATGCCAGTGTATAGCTCTCATCAATACGTATAAATATATAAAGTTTGATAAAAAAAAATATCTTGAATAGTGTCTTTAAAATTTATCTCTACAAAAATTTGAAGTCAAAGGAAAGGTCAAGGTCAAAATGTTGATGGATTTGAATAGCTCTCACCAATATGTATTAACACATTAGTTTTGATAAAAATATCTTAAATAGTTTCTTTGAAACTGAGCTTAGTACTATTTTAAGAAAAATGAGGTCAAGATCAAGCGAAACATCAATGTCAAAAAATGTTGATGCAGTTGACAAGCTCTCATCAATATGTATCAGCATATGAAGTTTGATAAAAATATCTTGAATAGTTTCTTTGAAACTGAGCTAAATGCAAAGTGTAGGAAGGAAGGAAGGACAGAAGGATGAAAGACAGACATGACAAACACTATATGCCCTGGCCATATTCATGTCAGTACTTTTTGTATTATACCTTTAAAAAGTTCTTGTTAAAGTCTTTTATTCAATTTGAACTATCAATTACATTACATGTATTTACAGTTATATCAATATCATAGATGAATGCAAAGGGTAATAACTTCTCTCAGTAGAGTACTTTCTCTACAATATCAATAGAGCCCTGCCCAGCACCAGAACACTTGACCCAGTGGTCCAAAATTTCACAAATCTGGTTAAAAAGGCAGAATTATTAAATTTCTATTGTCCATGCCAACAATTTATCATACTGCGCTAACACAAGGTTTTCAATTTGACGGCATGACCAGGTGCTGCTATCCAACCGACGACATCCAAAAATATGAATTCAATGTTTAAAAAGGCCCGAGGCTTGCTGAGTGTCTTTTGACAATAAAAAAAAAAATAAGATCAAGAGTAGGAGAAAATCTGTAACTAAAAAGCATGTATTATGAACCCTTTTTCTCCCACTGCAAAAACTGAATTTCTACTAAGTTTGTGTACATTATTACTTTGCGGATTACAGAAAACAATCAAATGCTTCACTGATCATCGTAACCAATCAAATGCTTGCTAGGGGTTCTCCAACATGTTTGAGAACCTAAAAATGAATCACTCTTTGGAAGAGATGAAACATAGGGGTAATGGGAGAAGCTGGATTTGTCCAGCTTTTTAGCTGTTTTTAAATTTACCTGTTAGCTGTGCTTGTAACTTTCCTACTTCTGTCAGAGGTGGGTCATTTATGTACTCAAGGTTATTCGACCTTGTCAACATCTTCTTTGGCAAATTCAAGTTAATCCTGGAATATCTACCTACAAAATTAGAAGAATTTTATTAATGTCTGAAATCCTCAGAGATTCTTGTACCCACATCTACTGTCATTTTAATTCCATGGTGCTAAACTTTCACAATTTGTTATAAGGGTACCTACTGCAATGGTTTTAATTTCAAGCTTTGAGCATGTGCCCTCTGATCTATACATGTAATTTATTGCGTGGTAATTAAGATAAACTTATTCATTATGGATTTTAATTTTTGTGGAAAAATGATATATTGTGAACATGGTGAAATTAAAACCACTATGTTTATTTTCCAATCTACAAATAACTAACTCAGAATATCATGAGTACACGTATACTGAATGAGATTTGAATATTATAAGATCAGCAAAACGGAACAAAAGGGTAAATTCTTATCTAGTATCTATCAATGATCTCGGAATATCATAATCTGTTTTATTGGAGTTTTCTTCTTCCTGTAAAATCACTTATTTTCGAGGGTCAAATTTTCATGGTTTAAGGAAAAAAAATACTGGTTTGAGGAGATTTGAATTCGTAGTTAAAGGAGTAGACTAAGTATGAAATTTCAACATTTCGTGGGGGATTTGAATTTGTGGTCTCTTCATACCACAAAAGCAACCAAAATTAAACCCCGATGAAAATAAGTGATTCCATAGTATTTCAAAGTATGTCTGTATAAAAATTCAAAATGTTATGTCGAAAACTGTTTGAGTCTTTGCATACAACAAAGGCATAATTACAGACAGACAAATATTATGACTGAAATCTGATATGGTATAAAATCTACAGGTGTCTTTCTTGCTCCTATAGTGAAGTACTTGTGTACAAAATTTGAAAACATTTTGTTAAAAACTGTTTGAGTTATTGAGTCACAATAAAAGGGTTGACAGATAGACGGAAGGACAACGCAATTCCTAGAGAGCAATTATGAACATTATTTCTACTGACTTTGTATTGAGTATCAGCTTCTACAGTCTACACATAATTAATGACCCAAACCAAAACTTTGGCACTTTTGATTCCAGTAATCTTGAACTTATCAAAAAAAAAAAGCAGGTGGTATTAAAAAAAAATCCAATTATTATAAACTTTACATAATGAAGAAAGGGAAAGTATCAAGAGAAGAAAATCATCAAGGATGTCTTACCATCATCATCAAAGCACATATCGTACCACCCTTTACCCATGGCAAAGTCTGTCCTCTCGCCATGGCGACATACAATCAATCTCCTCTGTTCTCGCTTTTCCACAGAAGGCATTCGTTGCTTTTTTTCTTTAATGAAGTTTTTGTTGACCTAAATTCATAAATACAATATACATATTGTTGTATAATTATGACTTGTTTTTGGTTTTTCTTTTAAATTTAAAAAAAAGAGAGACATGAAACTGACTGTATTTTACCTTGGCATAATCCTTGTCATCATGCCAGATTGCATCATAATCTTCCTCTACAATGATTCCATTGGTCACAGCTACAGACTTGGGTCTTACTTGCAGTGGTAGAGATCTATAGAAAATAACCAAAAATACTTTGTTATAAAATTGAAAACATGCTACACATCCCTGAAAATTATTTAACAATATCAATACATGCTATAAATGTCTTCATCCTTTTGAGTTTGAATTTTTTTTCCCCTTTTTCTTCAATTGACAGAAAATAGCCCTTGGTACATAATAGTTTCTGAGCACTGCACATTTTTACCCCCCCCCCCCCAATGTTCCCAGTGCTGACCTGTGAAGCATCCAGGTCCATGTTTCGGCTGTTTTCTGTGTGTAGACTCCCGGGAACATTCCCAGAATCCCAGTCAGCCATGAGATCCCGGGATACCAGCCATCTTTGGTTTTAGTAAGTTCTTTTGGATCCAAGAAAATGAAATCTCCATCAATAAGTTCCAACTCATCCCCAACTTGCGGTGTGTAGGCCTTCACCACTCGACGGATCTGTAAACATCACTTCAATGAATTTTTGTAATAGAACAATCAATAAAGCAGAGACAAAAGTATACAAAACCCCTGCTTGTAAGGGAACATGCAGAAATATACAAATATACTAAACTACAATGAAACATGATTACAGTGAACATGCTTACAATTAATTTATGCTTAGAGTGAGGTTGTTTTTTATTCCCTATATTTTATATATATATTTTCTATAGTTTTAAAAAGACAACAAACTTTTTTTTATATAAGAAATTATGTTTATAATGCATCAATGACCTGGTGCCCTCTGTATTATGACCCAAACATGGCCTAAGACTTCATTCTTGGTAAGGTTACTTTAAACACAAGGCATAACTAAAGGGTCTATTCTACCCATGCATACTGACATCCAAAGGAGTTCAAAACCGCATCATGCAGAATATATATACCTCACTTCTGCCAGCCCTTGGATCTCTAGAATACAAACGGAGGTCCCATCTTACATCAACACCGAGATCTATTTCTTTGGCGTATTTCAGGAGCTTATCGTGTTGTTCTGATGGGTACTGGTAGGCCAGAGTCAGGTGGAGCTGTTTCTTGTGTGGCTCAACTTTAACTCCTTGTTAGGAAATATTAACATTTTTAAATTTCTTTGTTCAAGATAAAACTACAAACAGTAAAAATCCTTGATTTCTGCATAAAGCTACTGGTTCATCTATAGGGGTGGTTAAAAATAATCATGTGTGGGGCGGGATTATAGAGACAGAAATAGGTGGGGCATGTAGCACATGAATTATAGAATCAAGAGCATAAAAATATAAGGAATAAATGTCAGATTTTTTGGTTTCCTGACAATGATCAAGCCATTGGCTTGCACGATAATTTTATGCATAAAAGCCTTTGGTTTTTATGCAAATTATCACACAAGCCAACAGCTTGATCACATCGTGAAACCAAAAAATTAGACAGTTATTTCTTAAATGAATTTATTTATTTCAATGACTTTAAAAAAGTTTTTTTTTTTAAATCTTCCGTTCCAAGTTATGTTTTCAATTTTGTTCCCAATAACAAATATGTTTGAAAATTATTGAGACACTTTCAACAGCTTCTTAAGGCAAAAAGTATGATGAAATAATCAAAACTCTGAATGATATAATTATAATGTAAGTCTGGTAAAATGCTGAGCTTGATTTATAACAGTACACATTTGTAATTCAGTATAAACATGCTGCTATACAATGTCTCTTTAAAAAACATGCTTCCTATTGACATTACTAAGCATTGGTTATCTCTGTATTATTTCATTTAAAAGATAGTCATCCTTCAGAATGTGTATCTTTCCAACTGAGCTCACTTTCTTTGTTTGTTTAACCAATTTTCATACATTTTTTTTTCATCAGTCAATATCTAAGAGTCTTACAGCATTTACTGTGCCTAATTTTAGTACATCAAAGATTCCTTAAATTATAATTACTCTCCTCAACCAAGTTATGATTATCAACAAGGAAAACATCTGTCTTTACCAGCTCTAAATAATTTTTATCAAATTTCTGCTGCACCACTTTTAATTGTAATTATTCATGGAAGCAGCTTTTTATCCTCTCTCGACGAAGTTGGAGGGGGTATAGTAACATGCTTGTGGGTGGGTGGGTAAGTGCATGCATAATAGAAGTTACACAACACAGCAATAATTTGTGTTCTTTGTGAGGGAAGCTCTGCCTTGTGGTGTCCTTGTTTTAATCTTCAGTTATTTGAAACAGATAAATCTCTTCTTGTCAAAGCAATTTCTACCAACTTTTCACATATTAATATGAACATAAAAATTATCAAAGTTCAACATGTCATTTTCTTAAAAAAATAAAACATTCAAATTAGGACTTAGGAAAACTAAGTCCTAATTCGAATGTTTTATTTTTTTAATCATAAGTTTTTCCAATGTGATTCTGGTACCAGGGTCTATATACATGAACCTTTACACAAATATTACAGTAACTATTATATCCACTTAAATCATCTTAAATGCATTTAATGCATATAATGTGGTGTTCCTGCTTGTTTGTGCCAATATTTAAGCTATATTTCAGTTATAAACAGAAATACTTTAAGTGGATCATTAATTACAAACTGGACTCTTAAGCAGACATACACAGTCAAACCTGTTTTAAGCAATCTGTCAATGGAGGTTCTAAAATGGTCATATATGACAGATAGTGTTTTAAAACAGGGAATCATATTACATGGGTAAACACTGAGCATTTTACTTTTGTTGTCAAAAGCAGGGCAGTAAGTCATTAAAATCAGGTTTTTGATCTGCCTGATGACAGAAAATTATGGTCGCATATCGTGTAAGGCAGGGAGTCACTTATAATGAAAAAATCTTGGAAGGGAATTTAACAGTTGCATATGACAGGAAGTTGCTTAATATAGGTGGTGGCTATGACAGGTTTGACTGTATTTATGATTAGCCATGTTTAATACACTATATTACCTCCTTTGGCTAATTCTTTGCTGAACATTGAGACACATTCTTGCAGGAATTCATACATGGTATCCTTCACAAATAATCCAATGAAATTCATCTGGCTAAAGAAATCCAACTTCAAAGTGTCAGGGGCCCGCCTGAGTTTGTTTTCTAGCTTTAGAAAGCTCTCGCTCAAAAAACCAACATCTTTGTCATCAGCCTATAAAATAAATACTTCAATATTGGTTCACACACATATCAAAATATAAATTGATTGTGTGAACATAGGGATGATTTCATTGAATCATTTTAAAGACATCTTATATACAGAAATTCTCTGTACTATGACTCAAACACAGCAAATGTATCTTTTTCAAGACCACTGACAATATTTGACCCCTAAAAGCCAAATTTGCCTCCAAAGCATTCTGTCTGTTTTGTAAATGTTTTTCTGTCATTCTTTAAATCATTAGCCTTAAAAGTGTAATAGACTGAGCTCACTGTGAAGAATGGACACATGGTGATGTGGGGGAAGTAGGAGTGAGCCCCATTCCATCCACACTGGGTAAGGCTCTTCTCCCAAAATTTGTTGAGTTCATCCTGCATTTTACCATTAGGACACAGATATAGGACATATTCCCTGGACGTGCCATCATCTAGGGTAGGATCATCTACATGTGACAGAAGCCTGTAAAAAAAATCTACTTTTATATAATGCTGTTTAGCACTTACGTGCCAATTAAGTGACCAATGTGTGGTAAACCAACATCTATATGCCTGCTAGATTCACAAGCAACTCAAACTTCTATATATTTATCATTGCAAACAGTTTTTAACTCATGTAAGCTTGGCCATGAATACTAGCTATCATAATATATCACATACCGGTTTTCCATTGTAATTTGTGAATTAAAAATGTTGCATATTTACAGCACTTATCATTTCTTCATGGCTTACCAATGCAAACCAAATATAACTAAAGAACCTCCTGGAACAGTCTTAATCACATCATAATATTATACAAGTGTAAACATCATCAAAATTTAGCATCTTCCTGATGCAAAAACATCACAGCACAAGAATAATGTAGACCAAATGCATTTAGGATTTTTCAGCAAAGAAAGTGTTCCCTCATAATTAAGTAGAACACGAATATCAGAATACTTGCCTGGAGTGAGAGCACAGACATATACATCTGTATAATGATAGAAGTGAGAAAATAAGAGAGGCACAATTATAATGTACATGACGTAGTTAAGAAATGTATGAAAATGACACTGTCTGTAATGGCCAACAGTTTCTATTGGTCTGTATGTTACTTAATTCAGTTGCAAATTATACTGGTCTATTTCTCAAACTTACCACAGAGGTGTTGAATAAAATCTTTTTTGTCCAATTTTTAATAATTTTTAATAACATCTTTTTAATAATTTAATAAAATTTCAAAGCATTTTGCTACAATTTGATTTACTAACATGTCACAATACGCAAGTAATCTGATATTCAGAAGAAAAAAAAAACAATATCAATTTTACCAATTTTCAAAAGTTCAATTCAGGTATTGTAAATATAAGTAAAAAGCTTACAGAGAATTTCTTCTGATACTTTTCCTAACATTCTTATAATCAAGACTCATTAAATCCATTCAAGAACTTCTACATACATGTTATACATGTTGTATCTATAAGGAAGTATCTTATGTTCAAGACAAAACTTGAAAGTACTTATAATTGTGTGTTCACTTTTACTGTATGTTCACTATAGATAATATAATTATGTTGCATTATCATGTTTATCAACAATATAAGCAAATATAAGGTCAATGTTTAAATAATGCAAATATGGTAAATTGATTTGTTCAATAAAATCACATTTCATACTAATCTCAATAATAAATGTAAGGTTTGTACAATGAAATTTGATGTGGGGAAAAAATATTTTTTTCTTTTAACAATAATTGTCTTTAACAATGTCCTCTGCATAATTAGTCAATCTTCTACTGTGCCACTGGAAATCACTGGTAATTTCATACCATGTTATATTATTCCTCATTTAAAAAAAAAATCAGGATCTTCCTTGTATACCCAGATAATAAATATATTTATTTTCAGGTTTTACAATGTGATGTCATAATCTTTTGTAATTAGTAAGCTGCATAATGATTCTTACAGCTAATTAATTTGACCTTTAAAAAGCAAAGAAGATGGATATGTTATTTACACTACCCGAAGATACTTCCACATAAGTTTCATATTTTTTGGCACAGTGTTTTTTAGAACAAGGTTTTTTAAAAGATGCCCTAAATTTTTCACTAATTTGTTATTACCTCCCCTTAGATAAAGGCTTGGCCCTTCATTTGAAACAATTTGAATCCCCTTTACCAAAGGATACTTTGTGGCAAGTTTGGTTGAAATCGGCTCAGTAGTTCTTGAGAAGAGGTTGAAAATATGAAAAGATTACAGACGAACAGACAGCTATAGATGAACCTACACTGGAAAAAATGTGATCAGAAAAGCTCACTTGAACCTTCGGCTCAGGAGAGCTAAAAATGTAACATTTTGTACCAAATGACACACCTATACATATTTAATGTTTTATTTTTTACCAAATCAAAAGAGAATATTGGGAAAAAAGTTCCCTTTCCTATTTCACAGGAACCCGCTACATCAAAAGAAGGACAGCTAAGATCAATATATCAATATATTGATACGTATCTTTATTTAAAAATGTATTGTATCAAAAAATTATCTTCCAATACATATTGTTTAGGTAATTTTTCTTGTAACTCTGTGAAAAAGTTGAGAATTCAATCACCAAAGATGATATTTAACTGTTTTGAATTAAAACTGATCAATAATAAAATAAACATGAAGGAGATAGCACATATCCCTAATAATTATGCATAACTTATAGACAACTGTACTTTATCACGTTTGATTTACAGATGTTACAAGTATGAATTTGAAGTGTACATTGTAATGAAAGTGAGACAAGAACTACAAAATGGGTTATAAAACACTCAGTTCTTGTAAAATTTATGCATTAGATAGAATTGTTAAAGAATCCAATATATCACAAATTGCTTTATAGAATATCAAATCGTATCAAAATTTTTTGCTCAAAACACAGCCCTAATTTGAGAATGCTAAAATATCATGTGACAGGTCAATAAAATTTTCACTTTTCAAGTGTGCCAAGATTCCTGCTGAATGCCAATCAAATGCACCCTCGTTTATTCATCATCATTGAAAACTTAAAACACTTTGTAAAAAGCACTTCCTTTTCTCCATATATATTCTGATGATTGATTCATGTGTAAAATGGGAAAAATTAAGTTTGGAATCACTTTCATTAAACATATAATTCTTTTGAATAGGGCCACGAGATGACAAAATCAAAAAAAAATAAACATATAATAAAAAGAATTTTACTTCCTGGAGAATATTTAAAGTAATTTAATGTATTCATTCATTCAGCAATTACATGTATCCTGCATAATTGAAACTCTTTATATTAATTATAATCTTTGAGTGCATTGCAATACCTGCATTCTCTCAATTCAAAAATATCTTTCAAATAGCATTTTAAATGGGGAGATAGCTCGACATGTGACTTTTGGTCAAATGTTATGGCTAAGGCTAATTATGAACAGACAGACAGACAGATTGTCCAAAGGAGTACCTCCTTCCTGGGTCACACTAATTTATGCACAAAGATTATACTTTAGGTAAAGTTTAAGTGAAATTCCATCAACCATAGAAAGGGGTGTATTATAATGAACTTTGTCTTTATAAGAATTCTAAAAATCATAAGCTCTTTTAATAAAAACATCAGACAATCTCTTTGATGCATGTCTTTACATGATGACCTCCCTTTCTTCATAGTTTTTTTTAACTGAAATCTCATCAGTCTAGTAGGGCACTAAAAATACCTACAATGTAAATGTGTGACTGATAAATGGACAAGCAAAGGGAAAAAGCTATATGCTCCCACCTTTTCTCTTGGCTGGCAGGAAAATAATATGGACTACATAATACAGTTAATTTCAAATTGCCAAGTAATGCCGTACCATTGAAATATGAATGATTCTTAAATCTCTAGTGTTTCCTCCATACAAGATAGATATCACCATCTAGCTATCTCTGTACACTATATTAAATCTACATTGAATTATGTAATATGTATATAAATCTTATAATTTACACAGGTGACATCTTTATAGGGGTATTATATCTCTATTAGAATACTAGACACAGAACAAGGAAGTATTAAACCAACATTGTAAGATATATATATGTTTTTGAGAGCTGTTAAACTTGTTATGATATAATTATTATTTCCATTGGTCAAATATATAGACAATTAGTATACATTTATTCAAGGGACCAATGCTAGCCAAGTTGTCTTACTCCTACACCAGGGAACAGCGCAGTCCTCTCAAGGCCTAATGAATAAGAAATTCTTGAAATTATTCCACCACAAGAAGATACTTGTATGTTTTATAATTAGTTTTTTTTCTCTTGAAACAAGAGGCCCAAGGGTCTTAATGGTCACCAGAGAATAATACAATCCTCTTAATTATCATAGGTGAATAGCCAAGGGAAGTAACTTCTCTAAAGGAGAGTAAATCTTTCCTTGGGTGTTCAAAAGAGCCTTGCCCTAACACTATAACCAGAGAACCACTAATCCAGTGGGTATGCATTTCACAAATCTGGTAAAAACACCTTTGCTAATACATTTGATTTCCATTAGTGAACTCTTCAAAGTTAAAGGTGCATTTGGTCGTCTGGCTGGGACAGCATGCAGCATGGCGTTGTGGATAATACAAAACATGCCAACCTCAATCCACTTTTAAATGTTAAATGTATTTGTCATTCCAATTAAAGAATAGACGAACTAAAAGACATATGTAAGAGAGCGAGAACCCTAAATTTATCATCCATTAATAAAAAAATATAGGTACGACATTTCCGAGGCATATGTATTGTATTTTTAAATGTACCATACGACAAATAGATACATACGATCAACAATAGATATAAATTGATATCGTTGTCATTTCTACTCTTAATGTATATAAAGTCCACAACAATAAAATATTTCATCTGCATTTTGTCAGGATTTGTTCATCGACATTCAACATATTGTTTACATGTTTATGTTACGTTTGTCCCAGAAATCCCGAGAGATTTGTTCATTCTCCGACTTTTTCACAAAAGAGCGCACTAAAAAGTATAACTCTTCAATATTGGAAATAGAACGTATTACAACTATGTACTTGATTTTCTGCTATAGATGCCCAAGAGCAGAGAAGGAGATTTGCAAAAAAAAACAATGCATTTTCACTATGTGATCAATAGCGCCCTGTAATAACAGGAGAACCTCTGTTCACGGGGGCCAAGAATTTCACAATTAAGGTAGAGGCATTCTTGCTCATCATAATCACCCACATACTTGCTAGTAGTTTGTTAACTAAATACTCAGGAGCAGAGAAGATTTTTTAAAAGAATTAATGCATTTCAACCCTAACACCAGAACTGTGATCCTGGGGCCATGAATTTCATAATTTAAGTAGAGGCACTCTTGATCATTATAACCATGTATTTAGTTTGTCAGGAGCAGTAAAGAACATTTTCAAAGAATTAATGCATTTTCATTACCGGTATATGATCAATAGACTCCCACCCTAGCACCAGAACCCCTGACCCCATAATTTTGGTAGATAGTTTGTGCTCATTATAATCATGCTAACAGCTTGACTGCTTGATGTCCAGGAGTAAAGAGGATGATTTTTTAAGATTACATTAATTTTGATGGTTTTAGCCCTCCCCTCAGGCCTGGGGGGGGGGGGGGGGAAGGAACATGAAGTTTACAATTTTTGTCTTCCTTTGCCTATATTTAATATATTATACAAAATTTGGTTGTACATGTCATTGGTTTAGCGGTTCCTAAGAAGAAGCTAAAAATATCCAAATGTAAACTGGATGGACAAAAAGAGAGTAATCATAATTTGTTTCTATGATAATCTAAAAAATCTGAAAAGATTTTATTTATATAATACAGTAAAACACACTTATAACAAAGTGCCAGGGATGGAAAATTTTGCTTGTTATAAACATAATTTGTTATAACCTTGAAGTTCACAATATGTTTTAAAACCATGGGAAATTAAAATCAATTGGCTGTAAGTGTGAATTCATTATATAAATGTGTTTGCTATTAAGCATATTTTACTCTACACATTGTATGCATCATGCAGCTGTTGAGAGAAAGCAGACAGGTTTAAAATCTTTGTTACCATAAAGTTTAATATTCTCTGATTTTTAAACTTCAAGACACTTCAGATTTCTTAAAATCAATTGATTTGTTTAATTACATGTACCTGTTCAAGGCCAAATGGCTACATATGGATGCAGCTGAAGAATTCTTAAGAAATGCAATTTTTGATGCTAAGTTATTTTGCATTTATATATAAATCCCTTCACTTCAAACTTCTTCTAACAGTAATGACAAGGTACCCAAATAAATCAATGAAAAATGAAAAAAAGTTTGCAACATTATAGATGATGCTAAAAAAATGACCTTGATCATCAATACATGTACCAATTTTCCTCTAATCCCCCAAATCATAGATTCTAATTATTAAGACTCCAATTCATAAAGATATCACCTGGAAATTGCTTTGATTGCTATAGTAACTTTGTCCTTAAAATAATATACTTATTCCATGAATTACCATATACATGCATCTATAATAACATACATGTAAGTAGACTGTAACAGGTTTTATGACATACTAAGGAACACTACAACCATTACCTGAAATTGCATAAATTAAAGTTAATAAATGCAGGTTAAGAAGATTATGGGTGCACTTTTTTTTAGGTCACATATAAGAGAGAAGTCCAGTTCACTGCTATTAAAGACAACTTGATTGTGTATGTCGTCTTATTACTAGTGTTTAAGAGGAGATGTGATCTTGAAACTGAAGTGTGTCAGTCTGATGTGTCACGTAGATATCAGGACAGCTTCAGACAGAGACAAACAGAAATATACGTTAAACATGTAAACATATAAAGAAAATTATAAATCGGTATCTCTCAACAACACTTTATAATGATTTATTTGAGAGCACATAAGTAAAGAACATATATGGCTACTTTGATTTGAAATAACATTCTCTTACAAAATCTCTATGGTTTTATAAGAAGAGCCATTGAAATCTGTGTTGAGCAGTAGCTTAAGAGCATTCTTCCTGTTATATTACTCATGGTCTAGTTTGAATGTCTTTGCATTGCTGAATCAGTGTCAAAAGTACACCAAGATCTCCGTTTATTAATGACAATGCATTATCCCTACTGAAATTAAGCTAAAGCTAAGTATGAGAAAAACATGACAATGAATTTCAATGCACACACTTTGATATATGCAGCAATCTTTGTATGGACATAAAGGTCTAAATTCTGAACCCAATCTGAATGATACTGAAATTCAGTTCACTTTTCACATCCATCAATTCCTTATTTTCAGGAAGAATTGCAGATTAAACACAGCAATAGATTATATTTATAATTTCTACATAAGATTACTAATCAAGAAGTACCAGTCACCTCTTTCCTGGACACACTCTTTTGCTATTTATATGTACATGTACCAGTATGTAGTACACCATCAAGGATCAGGTCAGAGTCTCTGAACACATGCATGTACAGTGTATTTCTATATGTACAATAATGTTCATTCCACTGTTTTGTAACAATAATATTATAACATTTGTTGTACTGTATATCTGACAGATCATAATATTTTATGACAGTCAACTTTGGTTGCTAAACACTCATGTAATGATAAAGTTTAACAGGTGTCTCCAATAATTTTAAATTGTATCATTTGTATGTGACTGTTTCATGATATGTTGAATATGGGGACATTCTGTATTTGTTTGTGGTGATCTACCATAATTTTTTACTTAAAATATTGGTCCTGTGCACTATAGTTTTGGAAGTCTTTTAATTTCTAGATATGTAGAATGAACAAGGGAACCCTTTTAAATTTGAGCTGGGGTCAAAATTTCGAAAGGCAAGAGAGCACCATATTTACATCCTATGTGGTGCAGAATCTTAAAAGAGTGTACAAAATGTATCTATGGACCATATTAAATGAGAAATAGAACAATATAGGACAAAGCATCATATCCCTCTACCACATAAAAAAAACAAAGCAAAGACATTGGAGTTGAAAACTGGACCAGATAAACTCAGATTCCATCTCAAGAGTAGCAGTGAGGTGGACCACCATCACAGCAAATGTAGAGAGGAGAGTCAAAAGGCACCTAAAAAAGACTACTAAATAGTTGTCTATACACAGGACAGAAGGAAATGGAATGGACTAGTGTGAAAACACTTTCTGTAAAACATTTTTGAGACATATTGTGTTCTTAAACAGCTTCTTTGGGGATAATGTCACTTCTATGGAAGTGTTCCACTCAGTGTTGTAGCTGTAATGAATTAATATTGATGTCTATATATATATATATATATATATATATATATATATATATATATATATATATATATATATATATATATATATATATATATATATATGTTTTTTCTAAATACCGGTATAATATTTAATACATATTTGCCAGTGCATTAGAGTATTTTAAATTAAATCATTCTTTTTAGGAAAAAGATTTAAACAGTTAAGGACATTGGCAAGGTTCCTGGTTATAGTATAGAATTTTTCAAGAACTCTTGAGTAGGTTTAAATGTACTAAACAGGCTATATTCTGGAATGTTTGACCTACCAAGCCAGACTTCTTTTTTAGATTCTGTCAAATCAGTGTTTTTGCAATTCTCAATGCATTTCCTATGTAAAATGTTGATAAAAGGGACCTACATAATTTTTCACCATAATATTTCTCCAAAACCCACTTATTTTATATAGTTTTTGTATTATATACATTATTGTATCTTCATTTCCTATGGCTTCTAGATGTTTTGGCTGAAAATGTATATATAGAAACAAGACAAGGACATACCAGCACAATCTTTATTTTTGAGTTACTTCCCTTCACAGCTATATTTACGTAATTATTCATAATGGTCAAGAGAGTCAGACTGGTTGAGTGATTCTATCATGTAATTGACTGAATTGATTGAAACACACTGTCATAAAAATATTGGCATGGATTTATTTCAAATTTTATTCGTAGTTACTAAATGCTGCTTCCTTCCTACAACCTGAGAACTGATCTCAGTCGGTCTACCTTTCAGCATATGTCACATCTTTGCCCTTCCCAGCATACTGAGCATAACTAGGGTAAATGACGACCTGTTGGCTTCCTTTGTCCCCTGAATACAATTTACTACAAAGCCATTATTACTTTTCTTTCGTGCTGTATAGATGATTCTACCCATTGAAGGAAGTACACGTGCTTTTATTTACCTCTGTAAACATACGCTTTATTTGTTTTCACCGCTTAGAGAATTCTACACGGGAGATCACTCTCAATCACTATTTCATAAGTGAAAAAACCCATGTATTAAACCTTTTTTCTCCGGAAAACCTTGACTTGCCAATGTCCTTAAATCAGATTTAACAGACTTTTAATTTATAGATCTATATCAACAGTTTTAAACTCATTAAGCAGTGTATATTACATAACTCACCAGTCAGAGGCCAGCTGAATTCCGCGATCTCCTGTTGCGGCAATTGCTTTTTCTCTACAACAGAGTTTTTCTTAAAATATTTTGAACATAATAATTGATAATGGTCAAACCAATGTAATATATAAGAAAAAGAATAAGTGAGCTATCATAAACACTTTTCTTTCTTTCCATCAATGGAAAATCAAATTCATGCATGGAATATAACTATTTCCTTAATATTTAGAAGATAATTTTAAAAGTTTTGCTTGTTTGAACACTACAGTAAGTGCAAGTTCTTGTTAATGTTCACTTAAAAAAGCACTCCAGTGCAATTTTCTACATTTAGCAAAAATAATTTGTTCACAGAAATATATAGATAGAATAATAAGAGTCTGGGGTCAGGCCCTCATAGTGGGTACATGAGTCAAAATCATTTCAACAATAGAACATCTTATCGAAGAAATTTCATGACAAAAATGAAATTTACACTCAGCTGCATCTAATGCAGGGGTAGACACTAACCTTTAAAGCATGACAACCCACAGGGCTAGTGACTTTGAATTCCTACTTGCGCTGTTGTCCAGCAGCCTTTGGTTGCTGGCTGAGTCACAAAGCGATCAGAGGGATCGATCGTTGCATGGGTGCAGGAGAGGATTTCCTTTTCCTGCAGGGGCTACGGGGCTCTCTGTATATTTTATCCACCTCCTAACCATTTATATTTGTCTCTACAGACCAATAAACTCACTTGTTGTGAATTTTATGCCATCCAACAACACATTCATGACAAGCGACTTTATCAGTCTGTAGAGATGAATATAAATGTTTAGGAGGTGGATAAAAAATACAGGTTGGTTAAAGAATATGTCTAGAATTAGGGAATTAAAGGTACAATGTAGTTGATTGACCAATGCTAAAAAGTGGCGAAATACATCCACAAAGTGAGCAGAAAATCTTGTGACGTAAATTCGCAATATTTGTATTGCAGAATCTGTAGCATTTATATGGTCAAAGACTAAAATATAAAACCATAACGCTACAGTTCTGCAGCTAAGACACACTTTCCTCACCTCCCATAGTGCTTTATTAATCAGTATCAAAGTACATGTAAATACGTATACTATGAAAGAAGGATTCATCTTCCCTGGAGTTTTACTCATTTTGAATCTCCAGTTACAGCATATATATATATATATATATATATATATATATATATATATATATATATATATATATATATATATATACAATTAATTTTATATATACTATATTATAAAAGAAATATCTTAAATAAAGCTAGATAAATTTAATAACTTTAAGCTTTTCAAAATGGGTTGATTTAGCAATATAACTGCAGGGTTTTTTTTTTTTTTTTTCAAAATTATGACTTTTATATCCAGATATGTGTTCTGAACAGCTGAAGGAGACAACTCATTTACTGTACACTACATAGACAGAGAGAAATAATATTGTCAACAATCTCATATCTTAGTCTTTATGTGCGTTAAAAAAATTGCATATTTAAGAAAAGTTGATGCTAAAAATAAATAAATAGAAGCTCTTTTGAATAGCCAGTGAACAGGTGAAAGCTATATAGCTAGATGTAATTTAAGTCTAATAGCTAAATAATAAGTGATAGTGCTGGACCGCGATCAGGCGATAAGCGCACCTGTTGGTCGTGTTTGATAGCGACCGACACACATATCTCTCATATTTAGTACTTACGCTCTATTCCTGGGAAACCCCATTGACACTAGGGTGTCCAGGGCAGTCTGTCGCTTTGTTCTTTTAATGGAATCATCCCTATTACTTCGAGCAGGTAAACTTGCAGACGCCATATTTACAAACAGTTCAACTTCCGGGTGTTTGTTATCAAAGAGAGATAACTCTATGTCTCACAATCTCCACTTCCTCATTCCCTAATCATGTTTTATATGGCGAACTGGGTAGATATCCAGTAGAAATATTTATTAAGTCCAGAGTTATTGGGTTTTGGCATAGACTTATTTGTGGTAAACAAGACAAAATATCTTTTCTCTTATATAAATTGTTATTAAAACTTAGAGAACATGACTTAATGCAGTCTAAGTGGATTAATTATGTTGAAAAAACACTAAATGACTGTGGAATGTCTGAGTTATGGTTAAAACAGTATTCTCCAAAGAAAATGTTGGTGTCAAAATTGGTAAAAACTAGATTAATTGATCAATTTAAGCAGAATTGGTATGCCAGTATTTTTGATATGCCAAAAACCCTTAATTATAGGTTATTTAAATTAGAACATAGTTTTGAAAAATATTTGATTTATCTTCCAAAAGATTTGAGAAAAGCTTTATGTTTAGATGTATGAATCACAGATTTCCAATAGAGAAAGGTCGCTTTTGGGGTGTTGACAGAGATTTGTGATCTTTGTTCCTCTATAATAATTTAGGAGATGAATTCCACTATCTTTTAGAATGTGCTTTTTTCAAAAGAGAACGAAAAAAACTTGTTCCAAATATTTTTTATGCTAACCCTAATGTTATTAAATTTTATGACCTGTTAAATTGTAAGGATGCTAAAGTCATTTTTGGACTTGCCAAATTTTGCAAAATTTTATTGTCAGTAATAAATTAATAATAACAAAACAACTGTTTAACATATGTTGTAATACATATAGATTTATTTAATACTAGCAGAGAGTCCTTCTATACTTTGATGTTTTGAACTATACATGTATATAGTAATTAACATTAGTGCCACTCATTTCATGCTTGTATGTTATTTTGTTGTATCATTTGTATTCATATACCCCAGTTGGGGTCTTTGTCTTTAATAAAAACTTGAAACTTGAAAACTTCCATGAAAAAAGTTTTGAAATCCCCCATCCCCACCCCACCCCGTTTTCCCACTTCCACCACAGAGAGAGAGAGAGAGAGAGAGAGAGAGAGAGAGAGAGAGAGAGAGAGGGAGTATAGGTTACCTTTGGAACAAGGTTTTACTATAATTCTACATTTAGATCAACGACTTTAAAATATTACTGTTTTTGATACAAATTTCTATGGTGATACTAATGCAACCTAAATAATTATATTTATTAACATGCAATATAATGATGTTGATGCGCAAAAAATGATTTCGGAAAAGAATTAAGAAAATTTTCATACATGTTAAATATAAACATTTCGAGAAATCTTTAACTACATATATTTGTAGATATCATTAAATTCAGTAGATGTGCATCAAATATTATCAATTCGCATCAAATCAATGAATCAATTCATTTCATGCGAGGCAACGAAAGACTGTTGAGGTCAACGATGTTATGAAATTATTGCTCGCAAAAATTAATTCATGCAGAGCGCGATAAAAATTATTTGTTGTCTACGGATTTTTAACAAACGAGCATACAGGTACATGTATGACCGGCAGGCAGGGGATGCTTACTCCTCCATGGCACCTGACCCAACTTCTATTTTTCGACGTGTTGGCTCTGCTCATAATTTGTATTGTTTAAATGGACTTTTGAGAGTTATCACTGTTCGTTATCTTCACATTTTTTTTTTTGTTTTTTTTTTTTGTTTTTTTTTTGTTTTGTTTTGTTTTTTTTTTTTTTTTGATCTATTAAATTTTTTATGGAACGCCATATTATCGTTAAATCAACCAAAAAAAAAAAAAAAAAAAAGAAAGAAAGAAATGAAGGTGTCATTAATTATTTAAAGATATTATTTCAATTATTAATATTGCTATCATGTCAATTGAACTGATGCATGCATCCGTTGAGTTCAGGAGGACGGTAATTGATTTTATGTGCGCATAAATGCAATCAGTGCGAACATTTTGGAAATGTTGAATAGTAGAGACTATTAAATTAATAATGCTCTCCTCATAGAATTGACGTGCGCATTGATTGAATTAATATCAGATATCAAACTGAAGAGAGCAAAAGTTCAAATACATCGCGAAATTATTCAATTGAATTGATACTCCTATCAAATGTTCTTGCATGGCCGTAGGAACCGGGGGCACGGGGGGGGGGGCATATATAGAATACTGTAGAAAACACCTACTATATGTTTGTGCCCCCTCAATAATAACGTCTGGCGACCTCTTTTTTCTTGCTTGTCAAGGAATTTTGGTAGTTGATAGTGCCCCCCAACTGAAAATGTATGGTTGTGCCCCCTCAAAGTGAAATTGCTTCCTACGGGCCTGTCTTCTTCTATGTTAATTTGGCGCTTCGTAAAATTTACCCAAAAGTTATTATTTATGTTGACGTGCATAAATAACTTGTAAATCGATATACTTTCATCTCCCATGCTGGAAGTCACATATGTTAAGTAGCGACGTAACTAATATACGTATACATATATTATTGTTGCACGTCAAATTTACTAAATTGTAAACTTAGATCAATATTTTTAAACCAATATTTAGCTAGGTTGATATAACTTACAGCAATAGAATCTATCATGTAAAAGGAGGTGCTTTAAATATTACGTGGAAACACCAAGACACAATACACAATATGAATTAATATATAAAAAAAGAAGATAAAATACTATATAATATAATATAATATTTTATCTTTGAAATAATAATTCGAATATGGGAAAAAGATATACCACCATACCTAGTCTTTATTTGTAACAATTCATATTGAAGGAAAATGCGTATGTTTTAAGTCAGTGTGGTAATTTTTAGGTCAACAGCATGTCAACATAAATAACTTTCAACAAAGATTATGGATCGACATTATTTAATAAGCTGCATGCATCTCGCATGTGAAATGTCATACATTGGGGGGGGGGGGGGGGAGGTATTTGATATTTAATGAAAATTTTCCTAATTCTTATCCGTTCACGTTTTTCTCGCATATCAACATAGTTATTATTTATATTGCATGTTGACATGTGTTTTGTTGTATTTCGACATAACTATGTAGCTTTTGACATAATCTACAGAAAAATAACTTGCATATACATGGAGGGGAATATGCCACCATAAAGGGGAAATATTAAGTTGGCATTTTTCTGCCCCTTACATGCAAGATAAAAGAAATTTAAAGAGAGAAAAGTATGTCAGCATAAAGATTATTATGTCTATATACAAAATAACAATAATATATATATTATGCATATACGATTTCTCCTTGCCCTTAGCTTTGTCTTCTTGTAAGTTCATTTTTCAATACTACTACTGTTCTCTCTCTTTTCTACCTCGTAGACGCAAGTATCCTGTCAATTTAAACAATTGTTCAAATATTGTTATAGCAACGAATTTACATGTACATGTACATGCATTTATACGGATTTCTAGAGTTCATTACCGTGGTAACAGGAAATGATTGAGCACCTTTTAACTTGTAGCTTTTTTAAAAAAAAATATTAATTAGCAATGCATGTGCACAGTCTTTCATGTTTTTCACACATTTTCCCCCATTCTCATGTTACTATGATACATATTAACCACGAAGGCAATTATTTTATAAAGCCCCCCCCCCCCTTAAAGGTGGAGGGTGTGCGTAATTCTTCAGTGCTTCGTACAGGTAAAGGAGTTGAATGATTTATTTTAATTAATAAACGCCGTGAGAGCCCATTCTGACAAAAGGGAGGACCATCTATTTTATTAATGTTTTTAAGTTCATAGCCATTTAAATGAAGTGTCGGTCCTGTGGCAGGGGTCACAACCTATAGCCCTATAGCCGGATGAAGTCTGTAATGATTGAAAAAAGGGGGAGCTTATAGAAACCTCCACAAAATCTTAATGTCAACAACTGTTCAAAAATTAATTCACAGAGGCAGCATTATTTTCACCTTCAAAATGTGAATTAATCGTGAAAGAGGCGGACAACATTAAAACCAAAGAATTTCTGCCTAAGGTTCAACACCCCTCTGTTCACTTTTTGTAAAATTTTTGATAACTTTTACTTTAATGCTTATGATTTTTACAAATATTAAAATACACATAATTATAGTATACATTGCGAGGCAAATTTTAACAGAAATGGCCTTTTAACTTGACAATTTTATAAAGGAATAAATCCCGAATAATAGTCATCAATCACAGTGAGAGTTATTTCTCTTATCAGAGGAATGATAAACCCTAAATTATCTCCCTTAGAAATCTCCAATCCTTGATTCTCAACTGAGAAATAGTCCTTTGACGAAATGCTGTCAAAATTTTCATACCAAGTCATCGCTTTTTGTGCATCACGAAATGATAGTATTAAATATATGTGTTTCTTGTGAATGCCTAGCGCAGAATTTTCTCTTGACATCAGTCTTTGTAAGCAATTTCAGTATATTACATGTTTATTTTATCATTGAAATAAGAATAATTCTCCTCTTATAACGTATACGACAATATTTTTGTTGGATTCATTTTTTTTCTCGTGGAGGACAAGAAAATGTCGGAACTATATCCATCAAATTAATTCTATAGAGCTTCCATTTCGAGGAATTATATGTATCTATTATTTTTCTCAGCTTAGGCGTGATTTATCAGGACTCAATAAAACATGCGTATATGTCCTTTAATAATCACGCTCAATCTGTCCATGGATTCGAATTCTGTTAAGAAATTTTGCATAGCAACGTGTAATGACCCAAAGTTCAAGAAAGAACCCATTATCTATAACTTCCTGTGTGAATTAGAAGCAGCAGAAGAGATGCCGATTTCTGAATATTGAAAATATCCTAGGGACTACCGGTACTTATAAGAGACTATAAATTTCAACATTTTGTCCCAACCAAATCTTTTAACCAGAGATTATTTGCAAGAAAGTTTGTTTTACATATGTTTTACTCCTTAAAAAAATTCTACAATATTGTTTTTGTTTTTTTTTGTTTGTTTGTTTGTTTTTTGTGGCTTTCATTTATATTGACTGATTTTGATAATTGGCGGAGAGGCATGGTCATTTTCATCGTCTTTTCGAGGAAAAACATTGTAAGATGTCTTTCAGTACATAAGGTCATTTCCGCATTAACTTCCATTGTTGAGGAGCAATTTTAGTCAAACAATACAAATATTTATGAGGAAAGAATCCTTGACATTTGAATGAAATCTGTGAGAATGTACATGCAACTCAGTCGTGTTATGTGGTTCATGAAATACAAACAAGCCTGTTTGAGAAGTGTCTTATTCTTATGAACTTTCAAAACTAAAATAAAAAATGAATTCATATCTTTTTATGCCCCCGTAATCGAAGATTCGGGGGTATATAGTTTTTGCCATGTCCGTCTGTCTTTTTGTCTGTCCGCAAAAATTTGATTTTGCCCATAACGTTTGATTGATTGGAGCTATGGCTTTCATATTTCACAAGTGTATTTCTTGTGACTAGACCTTCCTTTGGGTACCAACATATTTGATCTCTTGACCTTGACCTTGGAGTTCGACCCACTTTTGCAAAAAATTACCTAACTTTAACCTTGGCCATAACTTTTGAACAGTTGGTGCTAGGGCTCTCATATTTCACATATGTATTCATTGTGACAAGACCTTTCCATGGGTGTAAATATTTTTGACCTTGACCTTAGAGTTTGACCCACTTTTAAAAAAAACTATAACTTTGGCCATAACTTTTGAACAGTTAGAACTAGGACTTTCAAATTTCACAGGTGTTTTCCTTGTGACAAGACCTTCCTTGGGATACCAATAATATTTACCTTTTGACATTGACCTTGGATATTGACCCACTCTTAAAAAACGCTAACTTTCGCCATAACTTTTGAACAGTTGGTGCTGGGTATTTATATATTGAATGTGTATTTCTTATGACAAGGTCTTCACCTGCATACCATTAATTTTGACCTCTTGACCTTGGAGTTTGACCCACTTTTAGAAAATATTAACCTTGACCATAACTTTTAAATGGTTGGTGCTTGGGCTTTCATATTTACCAGGTATATCCCTTGACACAGGTCCTTCTTTGGGTGACATTTTTTTTTTATCTCTTGAGCTTGACCTTGGAATTGAATTGCATTTGAGAAACTTTAACCTTCGCCATAAGCTGCCATACGGGGGCATCAGTGTTTCAAACACATCTTGTTTTAATTAAAAAAAAAAGAAGCAAATAGCAGTATTGCCCACTGGATAACTGTGATACACACGCGGCTTAATTCAAACCTACCTGTATTATGGCCTTGGTTTATGTAACACTAAATTTGCTAGATTTCTGTCATCTTCCTGTTGTCAGAGCAATCGTGTTTTACTCCCTGTTGTAGAATTGGATGCTTATATCAAGTTATTCTTTGATAATTTGTCTACATTATTGTCCTTGTGACAACGTGATGAAATGTCTGCTCAAGAGGTATCAAGGGAATTTCTTGAACTTATTTTTATTCATTCATAGCCTTTTAATAAAGACTATGAATTCTCATTTCTTGGTTTCGTTTACATTATTACTGTTATTAAACTACATATAGTTAATCAACACACTCAAATTTTAGTGGAATTATCCCCATCAGCTGATTAGCATTATCATAAAGAACTACGCACGCCTACATTGTACATATATTTATTTCAATATTAATGGCAGTTAGGCTATGAAAACTTGTTTGAATGCATAGTAGAGTTCATTAGTAACGGACTGATGTTTTTAATACCAGTGTTGAATAGTTAATCGCTCTTAATTACAACTACATGTACTTATAAGCGTGTACATGTACTTAAAATAGCGGATAGGAAACAGTGCAAAAGGAACTGAAATGTGATTAACACTAAAATAAGTACGTTTTAAGTCTGAGTACGTTTACAGAATTAGGTTTGTTGCTGACTGTCACAGAAATATGTTGGGTTGTCAAATCCACAGAATACGAGGCGAAGCCGAGTCTTTTACGGACTTGAACAACCCAAAATTTTTGTTGACAGAAACAAATCCAAAAGTGTTTTGATTTTCGGTTGTTTTAGTATTTCTCTTTATTGATAAAAAATTTCCTTATCAATAAAGAGAGATATTTAATACGTCAAGTACCAGTGCCTACAGGATATCAATTATAATTAAAGGGTTTCTCGTGTGTGCGTATCTCCTTGTTTCGTCATCTTGTTTTCTGATTACGTCAGTGAAAAGGAGTGCTACTCTAAATTTAATCAAAGCATATCAAAATCTTTAAAAAGCGAAAATAACGCTGCCGGCTGCCATAATTTTTGTGATCGGCCGAGGCCGATCACAATTGATTCCATATGAAGCATATGGCAATGTTTGCGTACACATAACGCGAAAGACAACAGTAGTTTCTGTAAATAAATTCTTTCATACCATCGAAAATGCTTAAAATCACTAGAGAGATTTTTTCGAACATTTTCTTTGCAATTTATATTTCAAGCTGAACGAAACAAAATGTGGACAAGAATTTGATTTTTTTTTTGTCGATTGGTTCCCTGACATTGGTTGACAAGGGAAAAACCAACGACAGTGTCTCAGGGATCAAGACCATAGGACCAGTTCTAGCGATTTGTACAAAATTAACTTGATAACAATTGTTTCGAGAGGAATAAACAAAGGTAATCAAAGATTACGAAGCTCACCTCGACGAATGTTATCTATAATTAAGGCAAATTTCACATATTTTTTTTTCTAGTTAGGATACATCCCAAGATCAATATCCATGCAAGTTTGGTTTAAGTAGGACTTATAGTTACTTGAAAATAGACCTGCTCCAAAAACTTTTAAGTTATTTAGTAATCAAGAAAATTGTGCTGAGTTCCAACATCCAAAGCAAGTCTGGAAGTTTTCATCCTTAGATGCACCATCTATGCAAGTTTAATCATAACAGGCCATAATATTATAAACCTTCTCCAAAAAATTACCCTGGTCACTCATCTGGAAAATGTAGGTCAGATTCAGAATCAAAAGCAAGTCTGGAAGTGTCCATCCCTAGATACATCATCCATGCTAATTTGGTTAAAATATAGCAAAAATTCACTCATGTGGAAAATCTAGGTCAGATCCAGCATCCGAAGCAAGTGTGGTAGTGTCCATCCCTAGAAGCATCATACATGTAAGTTTGGTCCAGGTAGGGCTTATAGTTACTTGGGAATGGAACTGCTCCAAAAACTTTAACCTGGTCACTCATCCGGAAAATGTAGGACAGATCCAACATCCGAAGCAAGTGTGGTAATGTCCATCCCTGGATGCATCATCCATGCAAGTTTGGTCCAAGTAGGGCTTATAGTTACCTGGGAATGGACCTGCTCCACAAAACTTTAACCTAGTCACTCATCTGAAAAATCTAATTCAGATCCAGCATCCGAAGCAAGCATGGTAATGTCCATCCCTAGATGCATCATCCATGCAAGTTTGGTCCAGGTAGGGCTAATAGTTACTTGGGAATGGACCTGCTCCAAAAACTTTAACCTGGTCATTCATCCGGAAAATCTAGGTCAGATCCAGCATCCGAAGCAAGTGTGGTAGTGTCCATCCCTAGATGCATCATACAAGTTTGGTCCAGGTAGGGCTTATAGTTACTTGGGAATGAACCTGCTCCACAAAACTTTAACCTGGTTACTCAACTGGAAAATCTAGATCAAATCCAGCATCCGAAGCAAGTATGGTAGTTTCCATCCCTAGATGCATCATACATGCAAGTTTGGTCAAGGTAGGACCAATAGTTACTTGGGGAATGGACCTGCTCCAAAAACTTTAACCTGGTCACTCATCCGGAAAATGTAGGTCAGATCCAGCATCCGAAGCAAGTATGATAGTGTCCATTCCTAGATGCATCATCCGTGCAAGTTTGGTCCAGGTAGGGCTTATAGTTACTTGGGAATGGGACTTGCTCCTAAAACTTTAACCGGGACGCCGACGCCGGGGGTATAGCATAAGCTCATCTCGACTTCGTCGAGGTGAGCTAAAAACCATACAAATGTTACAACAAAGACATTAATAACAATGTTATTTATGTCCCTGGTCACGGAAAATATTAATTCGGTCATGATTTTTTGCTTGGTAGTGCCCCTCCCCTCCCCAAACTGAAAAAATTTTGGTAGTCCCCCCACCCCCAACTGAAATTGCTAGAAAGAGGTGAGAGGTAAACACTTGCCGATCATTTCTTTTAAAAGGAATACTTTTTTGTAGATTTGGATGACATGATAACGACGTTTTATCCGCTATGTTGCCGTCCAAATTTTGCTACTCCCCGTCCAAAGAAATGTTGATGGTAAGCATGTGACTTCCTTTATCCAATGACAGCATCATTCTAGTCCGAGCCAAAACAAACGTATTCAGATCTGTGTATAAATATAATACATTATAAAACTAATTCTTTGCACTCAGAACGTTTAATTTCAGTCTCAAGCTAGACGTTTCATGCTCAAATTTTTATGTATATATATATTTGGATTCATTTTCTTATCATACACATGTAATATTATAACACAACATAATAAAAATATAATGCAAAACACAATGCTACGGTACACACAACGAATATAACAACAGTTCTTGGGTACATCATGTACAAAATCAATCATTCTTCCTCATCAAGCTTATTTAAACCGAATTGTACATTGTCATAAATGCTCATCTTTGAAGATGAAACCTGATCAAACGTCATAGGTCGTTTAGCAGACGGATGCACCAAAGGAGTAGGTTCTGGGATGTCGTCTGCTAAAGAAGAGTTAGTTGCCCACCGAGGAGACTGTTGCTGATTTAACATTGGCGTGGAATCTCCGGGATTATCGTAATCCTCATCATAACGCGAGCTAAATCCGGGATAGACCTGTACAGCGTAATTAGAACTTTGTTGTTGTCTTGAACTTAAGGTACTATATGGAGTCGGCTGCGAGGAATTGACCGGAAATAGCTGTCGTGCGATTCGTTGTTGTTGCTGATAGTATTGTTGCTGCGGTTGTTGCTGATACTCATACGAGGGTTGCCCCGCATTGTATGTTGAGTATTTAAGATTACCTCCTTCAATTGCTGGAGGATATGTCAGCGAAGTTTGATATGGCACCGAGTTTCCCCTGTCTTGATAGGTCACTGTCGCACTATGTGGGGGATTACCACCGAGAGTCACAAACTTTTTCGATGTTCCCGCTCCCCCTCCGATTCGACCATTACGGACACTGGATGGGGAAGGTGGCGGCTTTTTGTCAATGACGGCATATGTTGGTATAAAGTCTGAAGCTCTTTTGTTGTCTGAGGATGTGGTGTCATTCTGAAAAGTTAAAATTTTGAGATGCATAAAGTTCAGTATATAATCAACGCAAACTTCTTACTCGTTGGGTACAAAGAATGACCTAATTAAGTTGAGGAGAACTTGTATTGTTGTTTTTGAAGGCCTTACTCAATGTTTTTCATTTCAAAAATGTATGTAAAAAATAGGTAAAAATTAAAATTTTACCAATTTTTATGTATGTCAAAAATAAAAAGGGAAAGAAAATTGAGAGAAAAAAGTTCAAGTTTTGATTCCTATAGAGGAAAGGTTCACTTTCTGATTCTCTTTACGGCTTGGAGACACTTGTCTGCCTGTCTGTCTGTCCGTGCATGTATAGCTGTCTGTCTCAAAATTGTGTCTGTGCTTTATATTAATTTCGAGTCCTTCACTTCTTTAGTATACTTAAACACTTTTTTAGAATTTAAATAAAGGTAATATCTCAAAGATCAAGGTCACTGAAAAACACAGTCTGGTCTTTAAAGTATCTATTGACTGAAACTAAATCTATTTCATGCTATTACTTATGAACTACAGGTTAATTATGATATTGAAATAATGTCCTACAGTGTATATAAAAGGTCAAGGACACTGTGCAATAAGATATACATGTATATTGAAATCGCGTGACCATGCAGTTGACCTTGAAAAGGAATGAATTTAAACTTTGATGTTCATGACATCATATTGTAAACTTTGAATTCAGTAGATCAAGGTAAGAGCGAAATTTACAACATCCAGGGATATCCGGGCAGGACATGGTTATTCTAGTCAAAATAATTGCATTCGGGGTTTTTTTTTTGTTTTTTGTTTTTGGTGTGTGTGTGTATGTGTTTGTTTGTTTTGGTTAGATGCGTTTGTTTGTTTGTTTTGTTATTTCTATATATATATATATATATATATATATATATATATATATATATATATATATATATATATATATATATATATATATATATATATATATATATATATTTACATTTACTTTGTGAAATATAACATTTAAAGCTGTTACAATTTTTATTTCAATATCCAATCCAAATTTGGACTACCATGTAACCAAAAAAAATCTATTGAATATACATGCCAGTGTGTGTGTTAAAGAAAATTATTTTGATAAATCTTATCCGCGAGTTGAACATTTATTAACAGTAGAGAAGAGAACATTTCATGATATGATTGCGATTTATTTATAGACGGAGGAAGCAGTGATGCACCCAAGAATTAAAACATTTAAATTGTTTGCATCATTTCTTAACTCAAAATTAAGATGTTTCACGATAATCGCATTTTGATACAAATTAACCAAAATTCAAGGGTCTAAGAACAGATGCTACAAAGAAACTTTTTTTCCCAAACATCATGAAAATAACAGCTAAGTCTATATAAAGAGTGTAAAATGAATAAGTTTTGTCGCATAAAGTTTTCATTTTTCATTCAGTTTCTCAAAAATGCCCCATAAAGTTATAGAAAATTGTACAGATTTATCAGGGCGGTGGCAAAGAGGAATAAATTTGAACATCATCGAAAGTCAAAATATTAAAGATCTGATATGTGTATCAATTACAACCAAAATAATCCAACAACATATACCAATCCATGCATCCAATTTTTTGTTTATAGCATGTGTCCTTAAAGCTAATACTTAATTAAAAAGTCTAGATAAAAATAGCATGATAAAGGCAAGTATTTGTGTTTTTTACATGAATGGGTTATCTACAAACTAACACAGCACAGCAGTTGCCGTTACCTTTTAAACTTTCCTAAGCATGCTTAAAAAGCAATTTGGTTTGCTTTGAAGAGACTTACAAAACTTACAGCTTGGGTTTGCGTGCCTTCGTCTTTAACGTACAGCACAAAACAGGCGTGCAGGCACAACAGCAGACAGATCAAAACCAGGATCAGGCCAATACCGAAAAATATCGCTCCTCCAACCGTTAATCCGGGGCTGAAAAAGACAGAGCCACCTTAAACAGATATTACATGTGAGATGGTCATTGACTTATCATACAATGTACCGAAACTTCCCTTTGTATTTCACTTCATATTTTTAATATTACACTAAAGAAATATTGGTTGTTGAACTACTTTATCGAGTTTAAAGGTCGGGATTTATTAGAGAATTTTTTTATTTCTTAAATAAAATCTGCAACATGATGACTTTGTGTCATGTTTCAGATTTTATTTAAGAAATAAAATATGACAGAAAGGACAATAATCTAGCTGAAGTTAGATCGTCCATCCGCGCCTCTTTCAGCTATGTCTGATTTCGGATCGGGAATTTTATTCTGATTGGATGGTCCTAAATATTCTGAAATCTATGGAATTTCAACGAAAAAAATCTCTAAAACTAATCGATTTTCCGTTTTCCTAGTCAGTGCGAAACATTTTTGAAGAGATCCCCATTCCAAATCTAATCTTCGAATTATCGATAAATAAAAAATATGCGCTATTTCATAATCTCTAATAAAATAAATGGGCAACCATAATATATCATATCTTAACATGATCAATAATTATAGTTTTCTTCGTAGGGAACGGAAATTACATTAATTGCCTGTGATTTAATTTGATTTTTCTAATAGTCTTGTCTATAGAATCAAGCAATTTATTCGCGAATCGGACAAATATCTCGTTTGATGAAAACTTTTTTTTTGAAAGTATAATCATCTCATCAAATTCAGTGGGCGTATATATTTAATTAAAATTCAAGTGCTTTCGTTCCTGGTTAGATCAATATGTGTACACACACAAAAAACAAACCACACTGCCGTGAGAAATTCAATAAAAACTGAGATTTCTCGAGAAAGGATTTTAAAATAAGATTTATATGTGTATCATTTGGCCAAATGATTCGACGAATATAACAGATGAAACTTCAAGCAGCATTTAGCTTATTTTGAAGTCAACATCCTGTATATGATACGATAAACAATTTTCCAGCAGATGCCAAATTCTCCATGGAATGAAGAATAGAACAAAAACTCAAATGATTCCTTCAGGAACTCCATGCATAAATTGCTCACACGTGTGTTTTACTCTTTGAGTAATCAGTGCTTAGTTCAGCAAACATTCTTTTTTCTGATATTAGAGATTTTATGTCGCCTTTCATGATAATGTCTCATAACGCAACAAACGAGTGCGCAAAACTAAGGCACTTGAATCTGAGAATGAAGCTGAAATTGGATATATATATATATATATATATATATATATATATATATATATATATATATATATATATATATATATATATATATATATATATATATATATATATATATATATATATATATACATACATACATATATATATATATATATATATATATATATATATATATATATATATATATATATATATATATATATATATATATATATATATATATATATACATACATACATATATATATATATATATATATATATATATATATATATATATATATATATATATATATATATATATATATATATATATATATATATATATATATATATATATATATATATATGTATATATATATATATGTATATATATATATATATGTATATATATATATATATATATATATATATATATATATATATATATATATATATATATATATATATATATATATATATATATATATATATATATATATATATGTATATATATATATATATGTATATATATATATATATATATATATATATATATATATATATATATATATATATTCTTATAGTTCCTCATCCTCTTCATTTCAATGGTATCAACAGTTTTAGAAAGGAATTGATATATGATTTAAGATTAGTAGCCTTTGAGCTAAATAGAAGTCTAGACCTAGTAGTATATCTTATATCGAAATTATATTTTATTCACTGATAAAGATTTTAAGGAATGTATGGTAAAAAAATTCAGCATTAACAGGTGCGAGATATATAAGATTAATAAGGATCATTTTATGTTTAAAAAAAATCATCTATAGATTAGAAACTTCAAGTAAATCACGGTAACTCGTTTCATCTTCAACAAAACATCTTCGATCAGCCCGAGGCAGCTACAAAATTTGGTACTGACGGTTGCACAAATTCGGTATAATCCGGGCATGTTTGCTTTCCTATTCTGTAATGACACGACAAATAATAATGCATTACAACATCTTTACGCTGCACCACTATATTTATTTGTGGAGAAATGTACGACGGGATCGCTAGTGACTTGGTAACAAACAACACATGTTAACTGGCATGATAACAAATATTTTTGTGGCGAGACAAACTGCAGTGAGAATGACGACGTGCAATCAGCTTCTTCGGCGAAGGACGACTTCTACTGCGTCCGCTATTTTCGTAACGTTGTCTTCTAATACGTCCGCGCATATCCAAATGTGATTTTCTTTTCAATAGCGCTTACTTAAATCAACAAAATTGGATTCCTAAGCAAAGATTAACACAACGCAATATCCCGCATAGCATAACGATCGAAAGGAGTCATCTTGTTTCTTACTTTTAGAATAGCGTTTGCCCTGTAGAGCAAAGAAAGTCAATGGAACAATTATTTTACTTAAAACTTATTATACACAACAAGCGAGAAAATTACAAAACGCAATTAGTTATCCTAAGAAAAACTTCTAACCCCACAGAAAGCTTACACGAATTGCTAGTGATATATAACATCTGGAAATAGATCAAGTAAATTGGCATGCAGTGCTCATCGAATGTTATCCGACGATAGCTGTTAATGGAAAAGAGAACGTTAAACGATAAAATTAATATGAAGTATTATCGCATTGAATGTCCGCAGATTCTCGTACAAGACGTATGGATTATCCTCTAATGTGGAAATCATAGTTATAAAAATATTCTATCACGTAAAAAAAATAAACTAAACTACCTGCTGGTGTAATAGATTGGTATTCGTTTTAAAGGATGTACTGGCAAAACATCACAGAATGCAAAGAATGGCCAGTTTATTGCGGAAATAAATTTTGCGCGTTGTTTTGATAAGGTAGAAGACAAATTCCTAATTACTGAACTTTTGTGTGAGGGACTTCTCGTAAAGTCGTATCTGGAAAACATCAAATTCGATCTTATGTTTCTTATGTGTGTGTGTGTAAGAGAGAGAGAGAGAGAGAGTATCAGTTGAGACATAAATTTCGCAAATACGCACATAAAAATTTCTTGATTTCCTTTTATTCAAGGTGCCAGAGTTTTGACCTCTGATCCCCATTAAAGACTTGGCAGATGTGCAGATAGATTGACCACGAATAATTGACATATTTATAATTTGGTTTCACCGTTCCGCCCAGATTTGTGCATCGAATGTGGTTTACACTAGTAATTAAAGTAATTACCGACTAATTTTGTACATCTGAGCGGACGTACAAATATAAACACGCATGTTCTTCGTCCTTTTTCTCTACTGCGTTACTGTATATGAAATTTCTTTTGCAATTGGAGTAGAGTCGTAGAAATAAAACATAAGTACGTGTATTTTGGATGACGATAAGGTTTATAACGTTTTCTAAGGTAATAAAAGACGATGCGAATTCCAATGATGGCGCTGTAGCGATCGAAGACAAATAGAATCAATATACATCTTAAACCCTTACAGAAAATGTACAAGTTATTGAGATAACATGCATATTAATCAGCTTATGGATTTCACCAAAAAAAAAAGATGAGATTGTCCATTTCATTACCTTCCAATAGCCAGCAGCACAATACCCACAAACACGAAGACGGAGGCGAGCCCTAGTATCCCCACTACAGCCCGAGGGGGCAGCAACCACTGATGAAAGTTCTTATAAATGCGTGTCCCCTCCATTTCTCAACGTCACATAGATCTTCATAGCTTTATTTAATGGACTCCATATCACATTACACTTGGTCAATACAAGATGTATCGCACAGAATGGTCTTTGATGATTAGGTCATTATTGTGAATTAAGAAGCAATCCGTTGAACTATTAATTGGAAAAATTTAAAAACTTCTATGATAAAGACATCAGCCGCAATGTTTATACTGGTCAATACTATTCAATGGGTCGATATCTTGTGTTTATCGCTTGTATTTACACTGGGCATCCACTTCTCAATGAAAGCATTCCACGGTGACCGGAACACAAAGGGCCTTCCTCTCTTGAATTCGTTAACGATATTCACTGATCCCCAAGTCGCTAGCTCACAGCATCGCTCTATTCCGCCGAGGAACGCGCTTATTTTCCCGAGAAACTTGTTGGGGAAGAAGATTCATCGAGGCAATTTTTTAAGACGATAAATATCTCTGGTTGTGTAATGATTTCATCATATGCTCATTATTCTCTCCACAATATGTTATCCTGCCAGCAACATATGTATAATCACAGGTCTTATTTCACCGATCTGGATCCACCTCAGATGAAAGGGACACATGCACGAGTAGAACACAAAAACTGTTGAAACCTAGCCTTATTTAGTTTTAAAACTTAAAAACACGAAGATCATACTAAATTCATAAGTAACACAGCTGCTGTATCTTAGGATTTTGATTAATAGTGTGAGTCCATTCGAGAATATTTTGATTAATTTGTTAAGGTAAAAAAAAAAACTAATTACAGAAAAATCTTTTAATGCTAAATTATATATGGTGAACATGGTGAAGAAACTTTCTTTCATAACGTGCTGTATAAAATCACAGATTTTATCTTATTATTATTTTAATCTTCTGCCCAGATTCTCGGCTTATACATTACAGAGAATAGCCAAACTGTCATGGCTACGTTATATATTTTGAGAATTCTTATTTAGTTATTCTTTTGGAGACTGCTCGAGAAAGAAAACTCTATCTTTTACAGATGAATGTAAAGCAAGTAATAGTTTTCCATACACAATAAAGTTCAGATTTGACTTTGCACAATTAATCTGCCAGGCGTCTGGCAGCTATTATCATTCATAAAAAAAGAATAAAACATATGTGCATGAACAAAATTCATAAAAGTTTTGAATCATTAACTTTCAAGGAACTTCACTTAATAATGCAAGTTGCAGAGAATTGGATATGACTATAAATCCCGAAACCTGGAATTATTTGTGGGGCTGACGTCCTGTACTATACCGATATATTTTTGCAGGAGTCTGGGAATTCAGACTTTGATTTACAATGTGCGGTGCTTGACAAACTTGCATAATCTCTCTTGACTGTTTAGTGCATGTAGATTTATGTTGATTGTAAAAGAAACAAAGACATCATTTTGTTGATTGTCGAGTGTGATACCCTGGCTGCGGTAATGCAGATAACCCAAGGGTACCGGAAGTGTACATCCAACGTGGCCCTTGGCATCTCACTCGGCATCACAGGGCAAAATGGTCGTTGGTGCATTGCGTGACGCAGGTATAATACTGCAAAAATAAGCATGTACATTGCAATCAAGTTTCTATCTGGCTTTAAAAAATGGTCTGCAATATCTTTTTTAAAAAGGTTGATGAAAGGTTAGGAAACATGGGTGAATAGCATTTTTCTATTAAGCAGATTTTTTTCATATCGTTTCCAAAGCTGAGCTTGACGTGCAGGTGTACCATAGAGGAAATAAAGCAGTAGCTTAAAAATGTTTAAAAGGTTTTACAGTTCACTTATTATACACGTGAAAAAAAAAAGATATGTCAGGATTACACGGATGCCCCCGCCGACATGCAAGTTTTTAAATATGTTAAAGTCCAAGAGTGTGAAAATAAAATTGGGTGGAAATGGCATGCATTAAACTGCTGCTTTTGCTTTCTAGAATAGGTTTTCTATACCACAACTACATGAGGTACGTGAAATGGTGATCACTTACAAGCAAAGTAATAAACAAGACTCCAAAACGGTAAATAATTTGAAATTTGAAAGTCTAACGGTCATAACTTTTGTAAAAATTGGTAAATCAATAGAATACTCTTTGATCTGTATAGTCATCAACGAAAGAGACAAACCAAAGAGCATTATCTGCAAGCACAAAAAAGTATGGAAAGCAGTGAATTATCAGAAAATTTCGAATTCTAATGGTCATACCTTTGTTTGATATAGGTCAATCAACATGAAACGAAAACTTTATCTGTAAGTCATCAATATCAAGATAATCAATCAGCTCATTATCTACAAGCATGGCCAAAAAAGTCCGAAAAACAGTGAAATTTTTCAGTCTAGAAGCCATAAAAATTTTTAAAACTTGCATTTTTGTAAAATGGGTCAATCTGTACGAAACTCGAACTTGATCTGTGAGTCATCAATATCAAAAGACATACCAAAAATCAGCCTATCATACTCAAGCATAGCAAAAAACAAAAAACAAAAACAAACCAAAAAAGGGGGGAATAAAAAAAATTACTATGACGGAATGACAGACGGAAAGGGGGAAAATGACCGAGAAAACGAGCTAAACGCAATATAACGAAATTTCACTCCAAGATCAAACGGTAGCTTCAGATCAGCATATATACGCTTGGTAGATTTAAGGAATTCTCACCAAGAAGCATTTGTTTTTTGAAATCAGTTGTATGAAGGCATTCTTCAAAGTTTTCAACCCCAAAAATGTAAATGAACGGAACATTAAGAAATACAATTTTTTGAAGATTAAAAGTTATGGGAAAAAGGAATTGGTTGAAATCAGACTAACACAAAAAGAAATAAGGTCAAGGTCAAATGAAACGTCAGTGTCATTAAATTCTGGTATTCACCAAGATTAATTTTTTCATGAACTTTAACGAAACATTTTAGAAAATGAGCAATTACAATAATACCACCCCCCCCCAAAAAAAAAAAAGTGAGGAGGGACAAATGAAAGAGTAACCTAGTCGTTGTAACTTTGCAAGGGGTTACATGTAGCCCTCATGGAATAAGTCAGTGATGAAAAAAGGAAGAAGTTTAACTTAATTCTGGTTGTTTGTGAAAAAAATAAACTTCTTATTAAGCTATACATAGTAACTTGACACAGATACTCTGATTATGTTAACGTATGCTTTGCCTATCATTACAATCGTTTTATAGCCAGGTATATTCATTCAACGTTCACTGTGGTCATGATCAAGTATATAGTATTGTGAACCATAAGTCTTTTGTTTCGGGGGATGTTTTCAGAATACCTTTTCAATAGGAACTATCCTACTTCATCTTGAATTTTCAGGATTTCCGATGAGTTATAGATTGCCTAAGAAACAGACCTAGTTTCTATGAAAAGTACATTTAGAAACGTTCTTTCTCAATAAATTTGGTTCTAGTTGTTAAAGATTGTCTGTATCAAAGTTTCAATAGGAAACCAAACTGCGTATGTGCAACCTTTTTCCAATCATATATATTGTCAAGCTTATCTGACTTAGCCATGTTGATTTGCAGATTCCTTGCTGCTTTATACTCACAACCCACACAAACTGTGCATTGAAAATCCCACCAAAAACTGATAGTGTATGCATTATGAAATTGTTATTTCATGACTCCGAGTGCATATCTTATCAAGACATCTAGAGAAGTACAGCTCATAAAACCATAATACAAGGATTTATTCTTTATGACTTTTGAATAACTTTAATAATTAGGAATGAAGAATTTCATTTTTTTAAATATAAAAAATGCTATTTTTATCAAAAGATTTATCACAGCGGGATTGATTTACATAAGATTAGAAGAGACTCAACTTGATTGTACTAGAAATGAAACGCCCCTTTGGGGGGGGGGGGGTCCTTACTATAGTTTCTTGATCCGTCTCTTGGGTCCAGTTTGAAAATGATCAGAACTAATGTTATGTTTCATCATGTTTCAGTCCTGAGAAGATTGTGGGAGAAAACTTTTTGTTAGAATCTCAGAGGCCTTGTTTGATGGATTCCTGACGTATAAAAAAGGATTTTTAAGGGAGACTGACCCTTTGATAAGAGAGATAATTTTCCAAGAAAAATATCCTGATATTACCCATAGTTTGTCTTACTAGCATTAAGTTATGGAGACCTTTGAATAGTGAATTCAATAGAATCCATCATAGGCCGGACACATTGACCTCTGTTTCCTTCTGCCTATATTTTTCAGAATTTTTTAAAATTATATTTTGACATAAAACATTTACATCCAGTTGTTTAACCCTTACGAATTGAAGCAGTGCTATCTTTTTATGAATTTTAAAAATGCATTAATGTATTATGTACCATATGTAGAATCTTTATTGGTTTTACATTTTGTTCGCAGAAAAAATATTTCCATGAAAGATAACTTGATGGATGTATTCTTTTCTTACAAGCACAGATAACATTGTGATATTCTGACTCAGAAAGCAGTGCTTTATCATAATTCTAATATGAATTTTGTAGGTACTAGTATGACACTAAATATTATTTTCATATACACCTCATACATGTAGTTATACCCCCGCTTGAAAAGCAGGGGTGTATAGTGATGGGGGTGTCTGTCTGTACATCTGTCCGTTACGCTTTGGGGTACCCATCTCTTATCCGCAACTCCTCTTTTACCACAGAATGAAACTTAATGAGACTTTCACAGAATCTTTGTTACATAGTGCCATTGTGAACCTCCTATTTTACTTTTTGATTGGACACAAATTTCAAGCAATATGAGCTGCATTTTTAACATTTAATTTTGCTGTTAAAATGTGCTGATATGATAAATCTATATGTAATTTAAACATTTATGATCAATTAGACTAAAATAAAATAAATAAAGTATTAAATTTTTTCAGAAGAAAGATTTCTGTACAATTGAATGTATAGTATTATACTAGAAATCAATACACATGTATTGTTCAGGATGACAATAATGTAATTTTGATTCAATCAAAGCATATAAATAGTTCTTCCATTGCAAATATGAACAACAGAAGTTTTTAAATGTAGTTTTTTCTGCCATTGAAATACATGAGTTAATTACAATATTGCAAAAAAAATTTCAGACATCAAAGTTGCAGCTCATATTGCTTTCAGGTTTCCAATAGCAAAACATAGACACTGCCATTCTTTCTATAATATTGAGGGGTACCCATCTTTTAATTATCAGCAACTCCTCTTATACCACTGAATAAAATTTAATGATACTTTCAAAGAATCTTTATTACATTGTGCCATTGTGCACCTCCTATTTTACCTTTTGATCAGACACTTATTTCAGGTCTCCCATTGCTAAACATGGACTTTGCCATTATAATCATATGGGAGGCGGAGGGTATCATTTTGTGAGCTCAGTGCTCACAGTGCCTCTAATTTAATGTTGTGATAATAAATTATTGCTCTTTCTATTTTCTGTGTAAAAATTTCTTCATATCATGATCTGACATAAAAATCATTTCTGAAAAAATAAGCACCGCTTCATACCTGATCATACTATTTTCCA